TGCATACAGCTTGCACGTACTAGCATTTTCTTAACTTCATAAAAATAGATTTTTTGAGACATACTTTTAAAAGAGAAGTCACATAATGCATTTAACATTTTAACATTGTTTCCTAGTGAGAGGCTTCACTGTGGAGCTTGGATGAGCTAACAGCTGACCTCCTGCAAATAATGAATCGGCTTCATTGCCACTCATGCAGACAATTAACAGAAATGCCATGAAAAGGTAATAAAAATAGTTGTCATAGAAAAGGGGCTTCATATGTAAAAGCAAGGCAGTAAAAAATGACAACATTGAAGAATATATTGAAAAGATAAACCGTGTTCATGTTCTGTTTATTTGGAGTTGAACTGATTTTATTGAAATTTTCATGAGTGGCTCTTTTTAACCCATGGATTGCTGGAGATGTGCAGCTGCCTTACAGCGAACCTGATGGATGAAGTGGAAGCAAATGAATGTATCCTTTTTTCACATGTATTTATCAGATTTTAGCAGTTTACAAGAGAGAAGTGGATTAAAATATGACTCTTTTTCCTTGTCTCGAACCTTAGGCTTTCAGCATTTCCTTAGAAAGAACACCAATAAGAAATGTCTATTCAAAGGGAAATGACTGCTGCATTACTGGATTAGATCAGGTTTCTGTTTATCTGTTAGGCTGTTGATGAGAGGCTGACATATAGGACTGTGCATTTTATAGATGTATTACCGCCTCGGCTGATGTTGTTTTCTTAGGGTTTTTTTTTTTTTTTAATTTTGAACAGAAATGTCAAAACAGAAGAAAATTAAATTTCTAATAAAATCAATCACAACTTTAATCACAAAGGCAGCCTTGGTTAAGGCTGTCTAAGTCATGCCAAAAGTCAAAACACAGCCACCTGTTGAGGTTTATCATAAACTGGTTACACGGCCATCTTGCATATTTTACAATTTTTTTTTAGTTCTAGGAATCAAAGTAGGCTCATGTTACCTCTGTCTGACAGTGATTAATACACAGGCAATCTTAAATGTGTCATCCAGTGTGAAGTTTTGTCACACAGCACCAGTACACCCAGGCACTGCCAAGCACTGACAAGAATGGGATCAGAAGAGGTGCACATCGCCCACAAGTCTATCATCTCTGTAATAAGCGATAAAAAAAGCAATCCTTACATTGTTACACTATTGAAAGATCATGAATGATCCGGTTCAGAGACATTAAGTATTTCTCAAACATTGCATCACAGGGTTGAAGAACAAGAAACTCTTATCATCTGGATAATCGATCGGTGGACTCTGCAGTCTTAAGTCATATCAGAGATTAACAAGAAGCTAAAAACAATAGAGTAGATGGAACTGCAAACAATAATCTTACCTTAAATGTGAATGGTAAATGGCCTGTACTTATATCACACTTTTTCAAATTAGGATACTTGACCAAACTCTACATTCAGTCATTCACCCATTCACTCACACACTGATGGCAGTAAACTACATTGTGGGGGCTCACTGACAGAAGCCAGAAGGGGTGCAGGTGAAGTTTCTTGCCAAAGGACACAGCGGCACTGAAAGCTGATGCCGGGGCTTGAACCGTAAACCCTTCAATTTCAGGGCAAATGTAAATGAAATAAAACAGATGATATCGGAAGAAAAATAATTCACAGTGAGCTCAGTGTAGAATATGTGTCAGACATTTTTCAAGGCAGAGCTGAAAATAGTAAATGTCTATAAAGTAGATCTAGAGTAATTTTTTAACATACTCTCCTACATCCCAAAGAATTTCTCAAAATCCTGAACTTATTTGACTTTTTATAGTGAAAACTGTAACTGGGAGGCATTGGCTAGCATTAGCTATTCCTATTAAAGTTTCATTGCACATTGTGTTCTTAATAAGAGGATCTGTGTTCCCCTGCTTGGATGTATAAGCACTTCTGAAAAGCATGGCCATCTTATGTCCTTTTTAAAAATAAATGTTAGGATAAATTCTCTTCTCTTCCACATGACACCATAGAGCTTAACATTGCTAAGCTAAATGTTTAATGGAGCCCATAACCTTTGACAATCCATACCTGGCTTTGCTTTGTTGCCTAGCACCAGTGTAGAAGGTTGTAAAGCAAGTGTTTCCTTATTGAGCAAAGACATTATTCCAAAGATGAGCAGTTGACTTCTTGCATGCCCCTACAACTTCTAGATATCTTCTTTTTTCAAGTCTATAAACCCTACATGGCTGCTTGTTCTGGGTTGCCTACTTTTTGCTTAGTTGTTGCAACTATGGGCTGCTCAAGAAAGTTGAGGTCTCGACTCTGCATGGAGTTTGCATGTTTTCCCTGAGCATGCGTGGGTTTTCACCGGGTACTCCGGCTTCCTCCTACAGTCCAAAAACATGACTGTTAGGTTAATTGGCTTCTCTAAATTCTCCTTAGGTGTGAGAGTGTGTCTATGAATGGTTGTTTGTCCTGTTTGTCTCTGTGTTGCCCTGCGATGGACTGGCGATCGGCCCAGGATGTACCCCGCCTCTCGCCTGTAGACAGCTGGAGATAGGCACCAGCACCTCTTACGACCCCGACTGGGATAAAGAGTGTCAGAAAATGTACGGATGCTGCAACTATTATAATGCTTCCTTCTTTCTCACTCTCGTTACTTTGCTCACCTGTTATCACATTTTCAACCTTATATTAAAACAGCTATGATTTTGTTTAAAGTTCTCACCAGAAAGTTGAAAAGCATTGTGTAAAAAACCAGAGTTACATCAAGTTTATTTCTGTGCCAAACTGTGCCCACTCCTGCGCTCAAGACGTTCCAGTGTTTTTATTGTCAAAAACTTTTACTTTTATAAATAACTTAGTTTTATCAGTGATCATCGTTCCTGATAAAAATCCTAGAAAAAGAGAAAGGCAGTGAAATGTAGTCTGCTTTTTCAGCATCACATAACCGTGAACAGCAGTAATGGGAAAGCAAGATAAAAAGATGAGCTTTTTTTCTCTTTCTAAAAATAGTTTTATTTCAGTTTCTTTCAGTGTAGCACAATTAATCATTTGAAATTGCTCCATGACTGGATAAGCTAGATTTGTTTATTAAAACCTTTATCTGTCATAGTTTCTTCTTTGTGTTTCATAATACTCATACAATGTAGTGGTAGAAATATATGTATACACATATTTCATAATAGTAAATGGTTAAATGTATATATTTATAGTTGTTCATTTTTATGTCCTTATAGATTGCTGGTGGAGTAGATGAAAGTGTGAGGATACCGTTTGAGTAAGTCCATGATAGAAACTTTTAACTTTCTCTGACTGTATGATCTAGTTGAATTGTCTCTGTAAAGTGCCTTGAGATGGCTTGTTGTGAATTGAGGCTATATAAATAAGCAGATTTGAATAGAATTACAGTCCTCACAAGAGACAGTCCAAACTCTGATATAAGATGGTTTGTTTATTTTGTGAGGAAGTATGATTTGAAGTTCTACTCTTGATTTAAGAGAAAGCAAATGAAGGGAAGCTAAAAAAGGAGAAATATGATTTCTCTCTTAAATTTCCATCAGATTTCTGGCTACAGCATAGTTTTTGATCAGCTGAAGACTTTTAACTACACTTTATGGACTTCCTGATAGAAAAAAATATAGTTCAACCTTGAAAAAACAAATGCACCGACAAGTTTCTTACCATCTCTCCTCAATATTATTATTATTATTTCCTATGGATTAAAGAACATCATTTAAGAAACATGTTTAATTTGGATTTAATGTTCTGGTCAGAAATAACCTTAAAGTTTTGTTACATTACAACATGACACAAATATGAATACATTCAGATAAAGTGACAAAATAGCGGCTATTTCAAAGACTTTGGTCAAAAAACAGAGATACAATCTGTCTAAGGGGTTCAATTCATTTCAATAACAATTACTTTAATATTCCCAAAGAGAAAATAAATGTTGCTGTTTTTCAATGAGATGTTATAGGAGATGATAGCTGAAGGCAGGAAGAATCTTCTGCAGCTGTCTGTGTTTCACCGAATATGGAGGACCCTCTTACTTAAGACACTCTGTCGTTTAAAAAAATCCTCTGAAGAGGATGGTGATGTTTTCCATAATGTTCTTCACTTTCTTAAGAATTCTTTGTGAAAAATCTCCACAGGAGGAGTTCCTAGAACAGAACCGCCCTTCTTTGTCAGCTTGTTGCTCTGATGCTGTTACCCCATTAGATGATAACAGCAGAGATTACAGTCTCTACAAAAGACTAACCGACTAATGATGCAGGTGCTAAATATGATCAACACAATGGTGGAAATAACCATTTTGCTGTCTTATATACTTATTAAGCAGAACCATATATATATATATATATATATATATATATATATATATATATATATATATATATATATATATATATATATATATATATTACAGAGAATCGGCTGCAGAACTGATCCCATATTACTCCTCCGGTAACCCTTGAAGGTCACTGATCAGTCTTTTAACTTATTTTTCTTCTATATAGAATGTTTACATGTAATCTTGTACCTCTGTCCTGCTCTAATACCACGCTTGAATGACTGCTGCATCTTTGTACACATCTTTCAGTGCAATTTCAGCTATTTTGTGAATGAATTCCTATTTTTATCCTGATGAATACCTCACAGTGTTTCTGTCTGCCCTTTGACTTTCTCCCCCTCAATCTGATGGAAGTCTATTTAGCTTGCAGCTGACTTTTGTTTTATCTTATTGTTCAACCAGAAGAGAAAGAGAAGAAGAGAAAATGCAGACCTTCAAACATTTGATCTGTTTTTGCTTTACATCATATGAGTAAACGTATTTTAGGATATAAAGTACATATATGTTAACTTAAGATTACAAATAAATGATTTCATCAGTTCCTTAAGTTTTGATGGCACGTGTAAAAAAAAAAAGGATAACAATCTTAAAGTGTGGGTTATTTATAATGCAGGCAGCCCAGGAAGGGGCAACTGACAGTGTACTGTATTTCATGACCTTGTCAGCTCATTGGCTTGTTCGGTAATCCCCTTCCATATTGAGAAAGTGAGGATTTGGAGGGCTTTCTATGATTGCAATATATACCTTCTTTGCACTCCATCTTCTTGGGGCTCAATCTGCTTCTCTGACTTCAACAGCTCCTCATCGGTAAAGCAACAACTTTTTATTGTTGATATTGTTCTATTCTGATATAACTGACTGACTCTCTTTTTCAGTTACATTATATTTGTTTATGGATTCATTGTTAGAAACAGTAAATCTTTCCAGTGCAGAAACTCCAATTCATATGTGAAGCTTGTTAATTATTGCTTGTTTGTAATTTCAGGGTGACGTTATCTTAAACTTTTTGATAACTAAGAAACAGTTTTAATCTTTGAGGTAGAGGGGGAAATTCCATCTTTTCAGATTAGGTCTGTATCCTTTTGGCTAACCAAGTGATGCTTTTTTTTCTTCATAAGACATACTGAAAGACAACACCAATACAAGGATATAAGTTGAAAACAAACCTCAAAACCTTTATCCTACTCTCAACATTTTGTTCAGCATCATGCCTTCTAAACATTATGATTTTGTTACATCGTTGCTTTCCATATCTTAGTTTGCTGCTTAGAAACAATCGTACTTGTTCAAAACACTTTAAAAGAGTGAGACATGGGTCCATCTTAGACATAAATCTAGGCTCATAAAATCTCACATACTTTTTATTCCTCTGAATTGTCATTTTCTTAAAATGAACATGATGCCAAAAGTTAGTCACTCCCCCTCCTTCCTGCCTGTTACCACTTCAGGGAACTCTGACATTTGTTACTCTGTTCGCTTGTGTGGTTCAGATGCCTATGGTCATCACCCATCCTTTCTTTTTGTAGGAGCCAGTTTTTTTTTTCTCCACACTTAATGAAGGCTTTAGGAACAGCTGTAGATCCAGGAATAGATGTTACTCTTCTGCTACAGTTCCTAGGGGATTGAAAGCAGCTCAGACTGCAACTATACAGTTTCCAAAATGTATTTAGGCTCCTTTTTAGCTATACTGATGTAATACATAGTTATATATTTGAGTCTAATACAACTCCATAGAAGGTATTTGAAATGTTGTCTGGACAAAATGAATAAAATTGTGTATAAAATTTAATATATATATATATATATATATATATATATATATATATATATATATATATATATATATATATATATATATATATATATATATATATATAAACTGTTTTCTCACCCCTCGTGGGGTGGTATGTGTCATCCTCAAGCTCGGGTCTTCTACCAGAGGCCTGGGAGTTTGAGGGTTCTGCGCAGTATCTTAGCTGTTCCTAGGACTGCGCTCTTCTGGACAGAGACCTCTGATATATATATATATATATATATATATATATATATATATATATATATATATATATATATATATATATATATATATATATATATATATATATATATATATATATATGATAGATAGATAATCCACCTGATACCTTTAACCATCACTTAGATTGAGTGTCCAAGACATTACGCTGCATGTCTTGTGACACAATTACAAATATTGGTTATTGACCTTTGGCTCAAGGTCAACTGTACCAAGTACCAGTATTTTTCATTATCTACAGTGAGGAAAATAAGTATTGGAACATCCTGCTATTTTGCAAGTTCTCTCTCTTAGAAATCATTGAGGGGTCTGAAATTGTCATCGTAGGTGCATGTCCACTGTGAGAGACATAATCTAAAAAAAGAAATCTAGAAATCCCAATGTATGATTTTTTAACTCTTTATTTGTATAATACAGCCGCAAATAAGCTAATAAGCTTTGTGAAAAAAGGTCCACTGTTGGAGCAATCATTATAAAATGAAAGAGCCTAAACATTACTGTCAATCTCCCTCGGAGTGGGGATTCATGCAAGATCTTACCTTATGGGGTTTCAGTGATCCTAAGAAAGGTGAGAAATCGACCCAGAACTATATGGGAGGAGCTGGTCAATGATCTGAAAAGAGCTGGGACCACTGTTTCCAAGGTTACTGTTGGTAATACTCTAAGATGTCATGGTTTATAATCATGCATGGCATGGAAGGTTCCCCTGCTTAAACCAGCACATGTCAAGGCCTGTCTTAAGTTTGCCAGTGAGCATTTGGAAGATCAAGACGAGTCACTGGAGATAGACATGTGGTCAGATGAGACCAAAATAGAACTTTTTGGTCATAATTCTACTAACCGTGTTTGGAGGAAGAAGAATGATGAGTACCATCCCTACTGTGAAGCATGGGGGTGGTAGATTCTTGCTTTGGGGGTATTCTCCTGCACATGGGACAGGGCTAACGCACTGTATTAAGGAGAAGATGACGGAGTCCATGCATTGCGAGATTTGGGGGAACAACCTCCTTCCCTCATTTAGAGCATTAAAGATTGGTCAAGGCTGGGTCTTCCAACATGACAATGACCTGAAGCACACAGCCAGGATAACCAAGGATTGGATTTGTTTTTTTTTAGGTTATGTATCTCACAGTGGACCTTTGATGATTATTTCAGACCTCTCCATAATTTCCAAGTGAAACAACTTGCAAAATAGCAGGGTTTTCAAATACTTATTTTCCTCAATGTATGTCCCATATCACTAGTAGGATGTTCAATAACCCTCCTTGGGAGTCAAGGCACTGCAGGATGAAAAGAAGGGAATGTTTTGGCATCATCCACAGATCTATTGGTTTAAAAGTGAACTTCAGGGGACCCAGAAATTGGTCTATTTTTAATTCAAGCTGGGTCAACACAAGGCGCTCAAAGCACATCATTACCAAAGAGGTCAGAATTATTTTATCAGTTTGGTAGTCTTTGTTTTTCTCGGGCCTTGATAATGGTGGCTGCGTTTAAGCATTGAGATGTTCTAAATGTCTCTAAATACCAGAAACATCTGATCAGCACAGTGCTTAGGAAACTTAGGTCGGTGTTGTTGTTTTTTTTCATGTAAGACAGAAAACAGATTTCTCAAAACATTAATTAGAAATGGAACTGCAATGATCAGCATCGATTTCTAGGGCAGGAACCTCTGCAGGAAGAGAAAACAGGTTAGTGACCACGTCAATCTGCCGGAGGATGATACCGAATGTGTGAGTCATTTACCTGGTCTTATAGTTCAGTCTGAGCCCAGAGGATGAGGCTGGTTGCAGTTGGTCGGCTGGAAATCAGATGTGGTGGGCGCCACCCAGAGAGTCCCAGACTCTGATGTTTCGGAGGTCGGAGGACAGATAGGAGATCAGAACCGAGCAGATGAAGGAGGGCAGGATAATCCAGAGGACAAAGCCAAAGCAGGTGTCAAAGCCATGCTCGGTAGTCAAAGCCAGGAGATCAGAGATCTGAAGGGAAATTAAGAAGGATGTCAGGAAACAGTGCCAGGTTCATTCCACAGACAGGCAGAGATCCTGCAGGAGTCTGAGGACAGGTCAGGCAAACAGACCAGACGGGAAAGGCAGGCTCAAACGTCCAGAGGCAGAACGGGTCAAGATCAGGCAATCAGGAACACACAGGAATGCTAGTGAACTCTCACCAATGGCTCGAATAATATGGCATTGATGTAAATAGAATAGATTTAAATAGAAGCTGAAGCAGGTGGATCAGATAAGCGGTAATGAGTACAGGGAGGAGATAAGCAGGTGGTTTAAAAGAGTAATAAGACCAGAAATCAGAGCCAAGATCATGACACCTACAGCAGCACCTAAAAATATCTATGCTGATTCCTCTGGAAGAAGATATATATTTTTTCTGAAAATATAGAAACTTGCCCATTTTTTGTTACATGTTTAATTTGGATCCAGTGCTTTTAATTACATGTCTTGTTATTAATTATGTTTCTGTGCTCAAATTTTTTCAAACTTCACTTTTTAATGAGGTACCCTATCTCAAAGACACAACCTCAAAAATATAGGTTGAATAACTTGCTGAAAAAAGCAATATTTATTAAAAAGAGCTGTGGTAGTAGGGTGTCTGTGCTGAATGCAACAGAATGGGATGAGTAAGACCGGAATAATGAAGATAAAAGGAAACAATCTAAAACTAGATATTTTTTATATATATATATACTCGTACTCGTACTCGTCGTCTCCCGCTTTATCCAGAACCGGGTCAGCAGACTAAGCAGAGACTCCCAGACTTCCCTCTCCGCAGACACCTCCTCCAGCTCTGTTGGGGGAAGCCCTAGGCGCTCCCAGGCCAGCCGAGAGACGTAATCTCTCCAGCGTGTCCTGGGTCGTCCCCTGGGCCTCCTCCCAGTGGGACGTGCCTGGAACACCTCCCGAGGGAGGCGTCCAGGGGGCATCCGCAGAAGATGTCCGAGCCACCTCAACTGACTCCTCTCGATGTGGAGGAGAACCGGCTCTACACTGAGCCTCTCCCGAATGACCGAGCTCCTCACCCTATCTCTAAGGGAGAGCCCAGCCACCCTGCGGAGGAAGCTCATTTCAGCCGCTTGTATCCGGGATCTCGTTCTTTAGGTCATGATCCAGATTTCATGACCATAGGTGAGAGTAGGAACGTAGACCGACCTGTAAATTAAGAGCTTTGCCTTTTCGCTCAGCTCTCTCTTCACCACGACAGACCGGTGCAGCGTCCGCATTATTGCAGCAGCCGCACCGATCCGTCTATCGATCTCCCGCTCCATTCTTCCCTCACTCGTGAACAGGACCCCAAGATACTTGAACTCCTCCACTTGAGGCAGGGACTCTCCTCCAACCTGAAGGGGACAAGCAACCTTTTTCCGGTCGAGAACCATGGCCTTGGACTTGGAGGAGCTGATTCTCATCCCGGCCGCTTCACACTCGGCTGCGAACCGCCCCAGCGCACGATGTAGGTCTTGGCAGGAGGGAGCCAGCAGAACTACATCATCCGCAAAAAGCAGGGACGAGATCCGCTGGTCCCCGAACCAGACCCCCTCCGGTCCTTGGCTGCGCCTAGAAATCCTGTCCATAAAAGTTATGAACAGGACCGGTGACAGAGGGCAGCCCTGTCGGAGTCCAACATGCACCGGGAACAGGTCCGACTTAATGCCGGCAATGCGAACCAGACTCCTGCTCCGCTTGTACAGAGAACGGATGGCCCCTAATAAAGGGCCCCCGACTCCATATTCCTGGAGCACCCCCCAGCACCCATATATATATACCGTACTATGGTAAAAATAATGTTCGGGACTAAAGAGTTAAATAACATAAAAAATATAAAAAAACTGGTATTGGTTAGGCAAGAAAATAAAAGGCCACTTTTTCATTTGAAAAACATTATGGGCTTGTGTTTTTGATCTGCAGCAGGATACATGGATAAGTGGTCTGGTACATAAGTGCTGAATACATCATTGTTAGATTGTTCCATTGCAAACCACTGATGACAAATGGTTCCGAGGAAAACTGATCATTTTAATTCAGCTTTCTTTGTTGTTTGTTTCGCCAGATTGAAACTAAATCCTGCAGCCAACATGGCCACTGAGTAAGTAAGATGAGATTATTATGTGTTTTAAAATTTTACCCCAGAAAAAATAAATGATAAATATAACATTGTTGATTTTTGTTATGTATTACTGACATGTTTAGGTAATTTCTGTTCCAATTTTTTTTTGCCATTTAAGGTTATCTAATAAAATGTATAAACATAAAAACCCTCAGAATTAAAATCTGATTTGATAGCTACTTCTTATGCTTATTCAACAAGCTGACACTGTAAATAATGATAGTATAGTGTCTCCACAAGACTAGAAAACACAGTTTTAAAGGTAGCCTTTAAAACAGCAATAGCAAAATCAAATGTATATTGTATGTCGGTCATTCTGAAATTGGTTTCTGTGTACAGAAAAAGACTGTCTGCAAGGCGTAAACATACTCTGAAGGTAAGCCCACATGGTGCACGATACTTTAACAACACTACTATAACACCAGGTTTCGTCCGAGTGCATTAAACTCTAAAGTATAAACACAGACATGTTTTTCTCCCATTGTTTTATAAGCTTGACCCAAAGATCTAAGACGTTTGCCTTTAAAATATTGTTTATGACTCTCTGAACCTGTGTTAGTAAGCACTTCCTGTTGCAATTATAATCCTTCCACGCCAAAGGTGCAGCATACCAATTTACTGATTATTTCCTTAACAAAAATTACTGTATGTAAATGTACCTAGACTATTTTAAACTAGAAAAAGGAATATTCTTTTAGGTTAATCACCAGTTAGTTTTGTCGTTTTTACATTTTAATGGAAATTATTAGTGATCTATTTTATAATTTACCTGTTGTGACGTATATTTGGTTTATATTAAAAGGTAAACTAAACGTCAAAGTAAATTTAGCCAATAGACATTTTTCAACTTTTGACCAGCATGCTGAATTAGTAGTAAATTAATAGTAAATTTTCACACATACTAATTTCTGTGTGGTATTCTGCAAGCTTTCCTGACCTATCCTGTAAGGTTTAAACAACTCAGCTATGGTATTAGTAGTTTAAGAGGATAATGCTGTAGATGAACCTCACTGGGGATGAACAGTTCTATAGAAACACACAGAGACAGATGAACAATATTCTGATGGTCATTTTGAACCAATCCGACAGTTCAACTAAAATCAGCCATTACAAAAATATGGGCTTTGTCAATTGATTAACAACATATATAAAACTGGTAAAATAGCAAAAACACTTGATATGTGATAGCATTGCTGAGGGTATATCAGCCCTTCTGATCGTGTTCATATGACAAGGTGTCATTTATAATATATTAATTGCTTCAACAACTCATGACAGTATTACTATAAAAGGTCAGTTGGCATTCCATTTTTACAGACTGCCTAACTTCATATATAAAATTTCTCGGAATATTTATCTGTGAATTTAAGTAGTTCTTCGTACCAGTTTTTAGAATAACACTGCTGACGTTGAGAAAATTCTCCACTCTGTACCAGTGAGAGGAGTTAAAGCACTGGTTCTTTTATTTATTCCTCTTCCTCCAGAAAAAGAACTTGACAGAAAACAGAAATCAGTAGCAGGATCTGTCAGAGGAGGGTAGATGAAAAACAGGGAAGGAGAAAAAAAAGTGGTTCATATTGTTATTAGTGACTATGTTTAACTCACAGTCCATGTTCTGCTGAAGTTCCCTGGCATAAGTGTAGAACATATAAGTAGAATCAAATGCAAAAAATGAAAATTACAAGCAAGCTGCTGCAAAGGAGCCTGGATTTTGAGACATTTCAACAGTTTTACGCTCTGGTTCTTGTTCAGTGGACTGTTACACTGCAGAACCTTGGTTAGAACGGAAGTCTGAGTTTAACTTTAACTGGTTGGTAGATGCAAATAAATTATGAGAAGAGACTAAGAGAAATGTAGCTAGAAAGGCAATTTTTCATACATTATTTTTTTCATGGACTAGATGTATATTATTAATAAAGTATTAACAAACCTGAAGCTCACTTTCATTGTACTTCAAGTGTACTAAACTTAGAAACGGTCTTTACATGCTTATTGCTATCAAACTCATATATGGCCTCTTATGAACCTTGAAGTGTACTTTCATTATACACTTACTTGAAATAAAAATAGCCTTAAAGTCTCTTACAAGCAAACTAACAGTAAATGTGGAAGGTTATTTTTTGGGATGCTTTAAAGAAAATTAGCAAAAAACTAAAAATGGATCAATTGATATGCCAAGAGGTATACTGGTTATGCCAGTATATTTGAATCAGTTTACTTGTTAAACTTGGTAAATATAGTTTAGTATCCTTCAATGTAGATGATGACTTGTACTGGAGGTATGTTCTTTTTTTTGCTGGCCATAATATTTGTTGCAGTTACCTTGGAAATCAGAAGTTAACAGCTTTCTAGTTAACAAAGTCAGAAAAATTAGGTTTCTAATATGGCCTCTTATGAATCTTGTTTTAAGCTTTACTTTCTAAATAAAAACAAACAAACTTAGTTTGTTTCATTCAGAGCTGCAATGTTAAATGATTTTAGATGAAAGTGTGCCTTGTAAAATAAAAATGTCTTCATTGCTGCTTGCTATTATTGATACACAGACCTGCTATATTGGATCCAGAACCAGCATTAAGAAAATATTTAGCATTTTGAGTGGGAAATTAAATTATAGTAGGTAGTTACACAACTAATACTTCTGACTGGAAAGTCATGATTTCTGAGGTCCAACTGCAACATAAGACAAACCCACTTTAAAAACTGGATTCCAGAAAAACATATTAATCTCCATCTTGATAAGTCAGACATGTGAGTTCACAAAGTATGTATGTTCACAAAGAAAAGGTGCTTCCCAACTAATTTAGACAGATTGTGAAAAATATCTAAAAGAAGTTGGCATTAAATACAAAAAAAGTCTTAGGTCGTTGCCTACAACTGATAAAAAAATGGACGAACAACAAAGGTGTTATATCTGTGCATGTAATAATGCATCATTTATGTACTTTTCACATCCAAGTGAGGTCTAAAAAATATAAACATTTGTGTTTACTTGCCAATTCCACAGAGCTGTATGCTAGTTGTTGCAAACAATTTACTGGAGGCAGAGTCTCAGGTGAAGGCCACAGAGAGAGAGAAGTTCCTGGCAGAGAAATGTCCTCCCTTGGATGTGCCATACTCCAGGGAAGAGCTAATGGTAAGAACAACACAATCAGACTATCTTCTGTGCATAAGATGTTCTCAATGTTAAGCACCAGAAAAAGCTAAAGTTAAATATGGTTTGATGTTTTTTCAAGACTTTTCTAAAGATATAAAACATGTTTTGTTGAGGTGTTTTACATTTATGTTGTCTTCAGACAAAAAAAATCCCCAAAACAAACAAGTCAATTGCTTTTTTTTTTTAGGAACTTTGCCAGAAACTCCATCAGCAAATCAACATCAGTGAAGAGGAGAGATACTGTACAGAGTTTAAACTGAACATGGTCCTCAATGAGGTAAGGCTGCCTGTTTGGCTTCTGTCCTTTTATAATTCAATAAAGCAAACATCAAAGTAACACAGAGAAAATCATCAGAAGGTTTGTTTAAGGTAAGAGCTGATTTTAAATAAAGAAACCAGTTTTACAGTTCTCAAAAAAATATAATGTAATAATAATAATTAAAAAAATGTATGACAGACAAAAATATTAATGCATATAAAGAAATAAATACAAAATATATGGATAAATAAAAATGACATAAGAAACAAATAGTTGTTGCAAAGGTGAATAAATATCAAATATGTGTATTTATGTCTCATTAATGAATTAATATTTGTATTTATTTGCTGTATTTTGTATGTTTGTTTATTTATTAAACATTTCAATTATTCATAGATTTATTTTGCATTATATCAGAGATGGTCCTCCATATGGGAGTCATATATTTTTTCACATCCACAAACTTTGTAATTTTGTATTTTTATTTATTTATTTTGTTTCTTTCTGCACTAGTGGTAAGACCCCAATAATGTTAGGATCCCTTACATTCCAGATCATTTTCAATTAAAAGGGAAAGGTGAATCTAAAAACCTCTACTGCATTAATCAGTGATCCAGAATACCTTTGGGTTTATACATCATGCCAAGAACAATGTTTTAGTGCTGAAGCTATTACAACGGAAGGGTAATAAAACTAAAAAGGAAAAGTGTTATGAAGTGAATTCTGTTTAAATGTCAACACTGGATTTTAAAGGTCTGGGTTTAGAATGAACAACAATCTAATTTGGGGTAGATATTGTTTTTTCTTCTTCTGTATAACAAGGCAGTCTTCTCTGATTTTATTTTATTTTCCCCATCCAATCTTATTTTCTCTGTCTGGTCATTTGTATTGACTTGACAGAGGTAAGCCATTGTCTCTAGTCAGTATTTAACCCATTTTAAAGTAAATTTCAGGAATCTTATAGAAATCCAATTTTAGACAGTTTACAATAACTACAAAAAAACTTTTGGCATTTTCAGACAATATAAAGTGATCAGCATCCTCAGCAGAGACGCCCAGACTTCTCTTTAACCAGTCACCTCCTCCAGCTCCTCTGGGGGGAGCCCAACATGTTTCAGCACCAGCGAAAAGACATAGTCCCTCCAAATGTCCAGCATGTTCTTGGCTGCCCTCTTGGTCTCCTCCTGGATAAAACAAAACTATAGTCGTTACGCCAACATTTTATTTTACCTCAGGATCAATGTACTAAACTGTTAACAGACTCTACAGTCATATTTTAGGCATTACGATGAGGCATGTTGGTATATCTTGACAGCAACAGCCAAGTCTTAAGTATAATTATCATTATTTCTGTGTAAAGTCTTCAATTTAAACTTAACAGAAATCAAGGCTTAATTAGGCTTATCTGCGTCTAATTAATATATACATACAGTGAAGAGTTTAACAAAGACAGGTCAGTTACTAGAATGAAATACAGCTTTTCCTCATTACTTTAATTATTTAGAAGAACTGTGCAGTTTGGCAGTGAGTTTTAATAGCTCTGTATTAGAGTTTGCTATATTTATATCTGTTTGGACAGATCATTTTTCATTTATTTCAAATTACATTCATGAACTTCCTCTAACTGAACTCTAAGAAGATGCAGTGTCCAATTATTTGGTTCTGTCTTGCATTTCAAATAAGGTGTGTGAGAAGCGGTTTGATCACTGGTATCAGTGGGTGGGTTGCTGTACTTGTGTTTGGTTGTGTGTATCGAAAGTAGGTGTGTGTGCAAATTTGTCACCTGGAGGTGCAAATTTGTTACAGTGGTACTGAGTGAATTAAGTTAGCAGCTGTAGTTATTCACAAATGCATCACTTCTTTCTAGAATGAAAATTGTGAATAGTTGGAATGGTATTTAACTTTGTAGAAACTTGATTGAGTCATAACTAATTTGAAATGGTAAATAGTAATATGCATTTGTATAAAAACAGGTCCCTATAGCTGCTAGCACTTCATATTGGGCAGTCTCATGTGATAGCTCTTCCTCCAGGCAAGCATCATATGGGTCTGCACAAACATGAGTTGATAATTGTCTCCCCCTTGTGGTCTAGACCAATGATCTTCAAATTTGGTGCTCGGGATCCACTGTCCTGCATGTTTTAGATGGCCCAATCCCAAACCGGCCCCTTTGCTCTAACCCTTCACCATCGAGCAACCAATCAGGTCACACTTGCAGCTGTGGAGGGCACTTTGATTGAAGGTGCAGGGTATGAAGGGGAATGAGATGCCCTCTTCCCTCCACCTGAAAAGGAAAGCAGTCATTGTCATGGGAACACAAAGATGCCCCATGCTTTAAATTAAGCCCATTTTTACAAATATCCTAATACAAATAACCCATCAGAAACGGAGTGAAATTTAAAACCTGTTGCAATTACTGTATCCCCATTCTCCTCGACTTCAGATGGGGCGTTAGAGTAATTCAACAAGTCCTGCAGCTCCATTATTTTTTCCAGACAAAAAGAAAGCTTCACATCAAAAAATGTGAAAATCAAACATTTACCGCTTTCTTGAATATAAATTTATACATTCAAATAATGCTATTTCAAAGAGGAGCTTCCCTTCTGGAGATAATGACATCTTTTTTATTTTTCCTAACTAGTGATTTTTTTTCTTGTCAGTGTGGTGAAGATGAAGCAAATCAGAGGAAAAAGTGTTTCCTCCAGCATTTGCGCTGTTGCACCTGCTGCCAAATTTCAGTGAATCTTCACTGATGTAGACTTTCTGTTTAAAGGCTCCACTCAACATACGCACTACATTGTTTGGGACGACCCTAACATGGCAGAGCCTCTGCAGGAATGGTGGGATAATGCGTAAAGGAAGGGTTGAGACAGGCTTGGGATGGGGCTGATGCGTCTCTGCTCCACCTGCATCAAATGCTTGCACTCCCTGATAAGCAGCCACTATGGGCTACAAGTTAATGCTAGCCACCCATTTGTTTACAGTAAGTCAGGTGTGTGGAGGCAGGGAATAACTAAAACATGCATAATATTGGCCCCTGAGGACCGAGTTTGAAAACCACAGGAGTAGAGCACTTTCTTAATGCTAAGCTTGTTTGCAGCCTTTCGAAACTTGGAGTAGATTTTTCTTCTTTCAGCATTTTCACTTTGCATGTGTCTTAGCATTATTCTGTATCTGCAGCCCATCTGAAATGTGTTGCTTTTGATTTTTCTGTTTAGCATTACCTTTTTTGTTCATTTAGTTATTTTTTTTATTTTTGCATTACACGTGTTTCTGTGTTACTCTAAATTTGCATTTATTCAGTACTGCACTCCTGGATCATAGAACAAATGGACCATAGAAACAGAAATTCAATTTCACCTGCAGCAGATCTCAATATAAGATTTTCACACCTTGTAAGAGAAAGAGCCATTAGATGACAGGAATTCAACCTTGAAATCAAATAGTTCCTTTTTTGTAATCTCTCTAAAGGTTAGAGACCTAAACATCAAGATTGTGGATCTCAGAGGAAAGTTCAAAAGACCCCGACTGAAGAAGGTGCGTATGTCTGCTGATGCCATGCTGAAGGCTTTGCTGGGCTCTAAACACACCGTTAACATGGACTTGAGGGCAAACCTGAAGCAAGTCAAGAAGGAGGTTAAAGAGGAGGTAAGCTACTATGTGACCGAACAAAATATAATGTCTTGAACACTAACTTTTTATTCATTGATTAATTTTGGGCAGGGACAGCACAACACAGTATTGCCAACAACTGGGTGACTGATGTGGTGACACAGGGCTTCGTGCGTTAATTTACACTCATGTCTCTGGTTAGGCTTTTTGATCCCAGAAAAAAATCATAAAAAATTACAAATACATAAAAAATGAAATACAAGAAATATTAAGTTAATTATGCAGTTAAAACTCATACAAAACCAAGAAACAAAAGAAAAGAAAAACAAAACAAGATATTCAATTTCCAAAGTTATTCCTTTGGTCAGTATTTGAAACTTTTATTTCTGGCAGCAACCTTCAAATTGGGGATGTCTCAACTAATTGCAGAGCAGAGCTGATATCTGATATCCACTGATATTCAGTGATGATTGATTAAAAGGCTTTTGCTAAACTGCAATCATCAAAATCAGGTGCGTTAAAGCAGAGAAACATCATGAACCTGCTGAAAAGTCTATGGTCATCCCTGCATTAAATTTAACAAACAAAACAATTTCGCTCGTTTTATTTTTATTTTTTCACAGCCACCAAACTCTGCCCTTCTTTAAAATAATTATTTTCAATGGCTAATCGGGCTGTGCAGTATGGTTGTAAAATGTATTGCAAAAGAAAAGCCTTTCATTTCAGTCGATCATTAGTGATTCTGGTGATTTTTATACCAGTTTAAAATTAGGACCAGGGGAATAAAGTCTTAACCTGAATTCCAACCTTAAGTCTATTTAACATTAGCTTCATTTAACCAAGATAGATTAAGCCCGGCGTACACTGTGCGATTTTCGGGGTGATTTTCCAGTCGTGCGAGAATCTTCTCCTCTGCCAATATCCCCCAGAATGCCACATGGTCCTGGATAGGATTTCAGTGGCATGAATGATTTATTTCCCAGCCCTTAGGAATTAAGGGTTAATTCCATTTTGTGATGGATATCTTCTTGGTCTGTTTTTAATGCAATAGCTTTACATTTCATAAACAATTTTTTATTTTTTTTTCACAGGACAAGCAGCTGCGTGATGTGGGAGACTGGCGCAAGAACATTGAAGACAAGTCTGACAGGAAGAAGATGTTTGACAGTTAAAATGATCTATCAATGGCTCATTAGAACAACTCAGAATCATTATTTTGAGGTTGTGTTAAGAGGTCGTAAGTTTTCTTAGAGACTAAATTTGTAACTTTTTAAAACAGACAATAGCTGTAGACCTACTGCTGTCAGAGAGGGACCTCTGATGTATTATATTCTGGTAGAATTTACCTTCGGTTCCTCTTGTTTTGGTCAATTTCGGAAGGGTTGAAATAGAGTTGAAACATTGCATTTAAAAGGAATAACTACTTCTCACTGGAAGATCTCTGAAAGGTAAAAAAACAAGCAAACATAAGAACTGCTAATGTTGAACAAAAATGCCAAATTGCTCCCTATTTTATAAAGGCTCCTTCTTTTGAAAATTCTTGTTTAAAAACTTGCATGATTCTTACAATCAAAGCTTCAGTAGTGACAGTAGTTATAGTCCTAAACATTGAAATGTCCATGTAAATGAAATGTTATTCTGAGATTAAATACAGGTCTGACCTTGTTCAATGTCGTATTTGATTTATAAGCAGTTAATAGCTTCTTGTAGTGACAGATATTCCGATTTTTGTCTTATTTCACATGGAGAGCTGTGAATGTTTTGCTGAGGTTTCTGTTCAGGGAGTGGGGATTGGCTCCTGTAGAAAGTGATGGTTTTCAAGCCAGTCCAAACTGATGTTTGGGTCTTGCTTAGATTTTTCACATATTCTTTTGATGTAGGTTCTCTTAGCTGTTCATGTTTTGTTACATGGACTTAAAGATAATCCTAAATAAAAAAAATAGTCATAGGGCTTTGATGATAAGAATGAACAAACTTACAAAAGATATTGAGCAGGAAGCTCAGAAGGTGAATCTAGTATAAAGTCCATGTTAGAAAGCAGGGAAGATGGGCAGAGGAGGCATGGGAAGCAGGTCATTTAAAGCATTATTGAGAAAATGCCAAACAGCCAAAACCAATATGGTGGAGAGCGAAGGTAAAGCTGGGAAGAGTCTGAGCAGGAGTGCAAAACAAACAGAGGAACAGTCACAAAATGTCAGGAATAGCGTTGAGGTCGAGGTTTTATACAGTAGCCCAACAAAGCTTTGTTTTTGTTTTGAAAACATGCACATTAATTGGCGTGGTCCTTCACTCTCCTGTACAGAGGCTAGGGGTGCGATGACAGTGGAACTCAGGGGGCGGACTCATGTTTCAGCTTTCAAAAACCTACAATGCAGCAATTGAGTTAATCCCTTCCCACTATCATCGCAGCCCCAGCCTCTGTACAGGAGAGTGGAGGACCCTGCCTATTCAGCCAGGCCAACAATTCCCTTTAACGACCGACCTTTCAGACACTTAGGGCCGGATCTATCAAAGGTTTGCGTGTATTAAAACGTGAGCTATTTCACTGCGCACGCTAAAAAATGTACAAACTGATCTATCAACAGCGTGCTAAAAGGATTTGGTCTTTAAAATGTGCTAAATAGCGCCTCTTATCCATTTAGTACTTTTTCTGCAATGAATATGCAATATGGGGCGTTTACACGCAAAAGTGCGTCTTGTGGGAGGAGAACATGTAAATATATTAATTTAGCACTCGCAAAGTGATTTATCAAACCTGAAAGCAATTTTTCTAACGCTATCTGACTCTATATTTAACACGTTTCAAAAGAAGGTGCAAATGGTCTGTATGCGTAATTGCGCACACATGGCAGCGGTTATTGTCGCAAGAAGGAGACATGGAAATGAAGCAAGGAGACACAGAGAACGCATTTTTTCACTCCGTGTGAATATTTTTGGAATGAACGAGGAAACGATCATCAAAACATATCGTTTATCCAGCATTGCCATTTTGGAGCTGCAATTCCAGTGATTTGCTCCTCACAGAGCGTCAGCTGTACTTGTTCCTCAATGCTGGTCAGAGGCATCTCATCTACTGTGCCCCGTCCTGTTTTGTTCGCAGATGTTTTGTTATATGCCAGTTTTTCTTTGGTTCGCCTTCTAATATCCTGGTATCTTCTTTATACTTCATCCACTGTTCGCAAGGTTTCACCAACAGCGTTTTCTTTATTACAGATTTGTTCACATATATCGTTCCTCTGTGTGACAGTCACAATTTTTTGCTGTAGCTCACTTAAATGTTTGTTGGCTTCATCCACCAACACCTCCATTTCCATGGGGTCGAATTTCCTTTTGCGCTTTCTGCTGTCCAAACTTGTCATGCCGCAAACCACCAAACGCGCAAAACCATCATTTAAATAGGGCGTCTCCAACAGTTTTGCACCTGCCACCAGTTACGCAATCGCTCTTGTTAAATCACCCGCAAACCATGGTTCAGCCCCTCGCGCAAAATTCCAGTTTGCGAGCGCAAATTACTGCACGCAAAATTGGATCTTGATAAATCCGGCCCTTAGATGGGTATGGGGTATTGCTGTCTAGCAAAATAAGCCAAACGACCCCCCATTCCAAAGGGGTGGACCCCTTCGTCTGTTCCAATTTGCATGTTTGCAAAACAAAACCAAGGCTTTGTTGGGCAGCTGTATAAAACCTCAAACTCAACGCTATTCCTGACATTTTGAAATGAAAAAGCTTCTTGGATGAGAAGTGAAAAGTAATCAAAGTTGGAAATAAAGTCCAGTGGATTGTGTTTGTCTTTTTTTGGAACAACAGAAAATACAACAGAGAGAAAACAGAGATAATAATAAAAAGGCTAAAAACACCTGATAATAAAGAGCACAAAGATATGAACTGATATTGTAAACCCTGAAGAGCAATAGAATATAGAACTATAGAACATGGAAATCATCAGAAGAAAAATAAAAACCACTGTGGATTCACACTAACGTGATTGTAGTGATTTCAATGCCACATTCTGGTGCTGTTGCTCACTCAACATATTGTTTGAAATTCAAATGGTGCTCCACTCCTGCCCTGTTATAAAATTGGCCAGTTTCACTTCAACATGGTGGACCTGGATTTTACAGAACAAGTCACTGTGTAGATTGGAGCGAGATGATGAGCAGATAGAGAGCACCTCAGCCTGGGCAGAGTCTGTGGGAAACTATGTAAATGATCCTCATAAACGTGATGCAGTCCACCTGTACGTAATTGAGCATGTGTTCATGAGAATTGCAAATATGAATAATTACCGCCCAGATAATTCCACAAAAGGTTACAACTTCCAGCACTTCTCAGATGGTTTTCATTCACAGAAAGGACATGGAAGACGAAGAAGAGAGACTTTACCAGTTTGTAGAACGAGGCAGTGCTGACAGCAAGCTGAGCAGCAAAATTAAACTACCATTAAAAATCAAGCAGATGGGAATAAATTACAAAAGCTGTAAATGCCATGTTGCCTGTTGGTTGCTGTGTCACGGAAATAAAAATACAAATAATTTGGTCAAAAACTTGTGTTGAAAAATGACAGAAAAGCAAGACAGTCAATAAAAACTACTGATGGAAAACTCCCTGCAACAAAGCCTAGGCTTTGGGTTGCTGCTCTCCTCCCTTTGAAGGTACCCGAATTAGGGCTCAAGCTGCCTCTCCCCCTTCCCACACTGGGGGGTCTGGTGATCTCTTCCTGGGTCTGTTGGGCTGTTCCCCCCTAAGGAGTGGAGATGCATGTAAAAGGAGTGTAAGAACACATCTACTAAAAATGAGAAAAAAATGTGACCAGTATCCTGGATCATGATATGCAAGCTGCAGGTGTAGTGACCGATAAATCTGTCATCAGCAAATACAAATTTGATTTATAATCACAGACTTGCATATTATAATGATGTAGCCTAATTTATAATCTGTTTTAAAATGGACAATCCTGCTAAGAAACAACAAATGCAGTAATTTAGTGAAACACTAAATTAAGTGCAGCAGTGATAAAATGTAAACAGTGTGGAAGAAAAAACATGGTGCAAAAATTCATAGATATGGAAGTTCAGAGCATAAAATATATATGGTGCAAATATGCAGTATTTTGACTTGGTGTTATCAAGTCAAAATACTGGAAGTACATGTGTTTCTGTGCCCTCTTGATGTGGACCCCCAAGAATTTGGTGCTACTGACCACCTTTACAGCTGAGCTGTTGATGACCAGTGTAGCGTGATTAAGCCCATTCTTCCTGAAGTCAACAATGATTTCCTTCAGCTTCTCCACATTCAGGATCAGGCTTTTGTCTTTGCACCATTCCACCAGCTGCTCCACCTCCTCTCTGTAGTCTTGGTCATTGTCATCTCTAATGAGGCCCACCACTGTAGTGTTGTCTGCACACTTAACAATATGATTGGTTGGTGAACCTGGGGACACAGGGCCGGATTTATCAAGATCCAATTTTGCGTGCAGTAATTTGCGCTCGCAAAGTGGAATTTTGCGCGAGGGGCTGAACCATGGTTTGCGGGTGATTTAACAAGAGCGATTGCGTAACTGGTGGAAGGTGCAAAACTGTTGGAGACGCCCTATTTAAATGATGGTTTTGCGCGTTTTGTGGTTTGCGGCAATGTAGTTTGTAGTCTGTACAAACTAGTGCATTAACAAATTTAAATCTTACAGTGACCCCCAACAAAAATAAATAAATAAGTATATATATATATATATATATATATATATATATATATATATATATATATATATATATATATATATATATATATATATTTATTTATTTATTTATTTATTTATAAATTGGCAACCTTTATTCCCTAAGGTGGTATGTGCTGCAGTAAAAAAAAACAAAAAACAAAAAAACAGGTGTTTTGTATTGGCCTGTGACTGTGGATGAGATCCCCCAGCATTTGGCACGTTGCTCCACAGGCGCAGGGGGAGAACCCCGACCCCGTCGGACAGCACTTCTGAAAAAACGAGATTAGGAGATCCCAGCTCTCGCTGCAACCGTATGCTGGAATGACCCAGATGCAAAAAAGTGCAATGTTGCAAGGAGTTTTGTGATATCTGGTATTGCGTGGGTCCTCCTTGTGGCTGGCTCCAAATCCATTCGGAGTTCCCCCAACAGCTCCAAAATGGCAATGCTGGATAAACGATATGTTTTGATGATCGTTTCCTCGTTCATTCCAAAAATATTCACACGGAGTGAAAAAATGCGTTCTCTGCGTCTCCTTGCTTCATTTCGATGTCTCCTTCTTGCGACAATAACCGCTGCCATGTGTGCGCAATTACGCATACAGACCATTTGCACCTTCTTTTGAAACGTGTTAAATATAGAGTCAGATACCGTTAGCAAAATTGCGTTCAAGTTTGATAAATCACTTTGCGAGTGCTAAATTAATATATTTACATGTTCTCCTCCCACAAGACGCACTTTAGCGTGTAAACGCCCCATATTGCATATTCATTGCAGAAAAAGTACTAAATGGATCACAGGCGCTATTTAGCACGTTTTAAAGACCAAATCCTTTTAGCACACTGTTGATAGATCAGTTTGTACATTTTTTAGCGTGCGCAGTGAAATAGCTCACGTTTTAATACACGCAAACCTTTGATAAATCCGGCCCACAGACACGTGTCATCCGGGTGAACAGCAGGGGGCTCAGGACGCAGTCCTGATGGGAGCATGTGCTTAGGATGATGACATCAGAGGTGTCCAACGCAGATTGACTGAGGTCTGTTTGTGAAGAATTCTTACAACCAATTGCAGATGGGTGTTTTGAAGCCTCGCTGTTACAGTTTTCCAGGTGCTGTGGGATGATAGTGTTGAAAGCTGAACTGAAGTCCAGGAACAGCATCTTCACGTTGGTGTCTGTCTGCTCCATTCAGATTCAGTCCTGCTCTCCAAACACCCTCCTGAATAAACTGTTTTCAAAAGTCACTGACCTGTCTTGGTTGTATTTGGGTCCAGCCTCTGTTTTTCACAGGGGTATATTTCAGGGATTTATGGCATCCATCTATTCATCCATTTTCCATCACACTTATCCGTACTGGTCGTGAGGGGTGCTGGTGCCTTTCTCCAGCTGTCTACGGGGGCGAGAGGACGGGTACACCCTGGACAGGTCGCCAGTCCATCGCAGGGCAGGATAGTATGATTTTAATCACAGTTTGTATTTAATGGAAGCAAAAGAAAATATATTTTTTTAAAGTAGCAGGATATCAACAAATTAACATAAACACAGCTATTGTCACATCAGTAAACGAACCTCTGCATATTAAATCACAGGAATTTTTCAGGATTATGAAATTATCCTGTAAAATTAGGAATTGTGCTTACACTCTGCAGATTAATTTAGATTAAAATCTCACCCTGTGGGATCAAAAAAGGAGGGGAAAAATATACTCTTTTGGAAAACCGGCCTGCCTGAAATCATGCTCCCTTATTTTTATAACCTGTGTTAATATGAGAGGCCGCATGGCAGCCAGAGAAAGATCTGGAAGCCTTTCTGTGGACAGATTCACATCTCCAACCATTATGCCAAAGTGAAATGCTTACCAGGCAGTAAATGAGTTGGTAATATTTATAGAATTAAGTGTAGCCCTATATTAAAATGCTTTATTTGGATGAGGTGTTGTCTGTATTTGAATCACGTCTGCTTCCTGGTTCTGTTTTGAAACTCACAGGTGAGTGGAAGAATAGCTAAATTACCTCTGAAAGATAAAAAAAAACTATTCAAAATGTTGGTACTGTTGTTGCTTAGTGGCAGGTGTAGAGGTCACATAATCTGGTTCATGATCACAAAAACTATAGTAGATTAAGCAGATAGACACAGTAAATCTATCTGCTTAATCTACTGATTATGTTAATCTTATTTTTAAATAAATAAACTGTTTTGTTATATTACAGCTAGATATATCTTTCTTATCAACAGGTAAAAACAACACAACAACAACTACATCACAGCCCAGCTTTAAGGCACTGCTCCAAGCTGCAACCCATTAAACCGTTAACTTAATACACTGGGTCAAGCCCAAAGTATAATAGCAGATGTTAGAGCTTTATTGCAAACAAATGAGAGTCAAACTGGATCTAAATTAGACTTTCTTAAAACCCTTAACTCTTTGTCTCCTTTTTTGAAAGATTCATAAGCAACAAGTCGTTAAAGTTTGAAACTCAAAGCTGTAAGAGAGGTGTGACAAAAAGGATATGTACGAATGTTTTCAAAGCACATGCCTTCAGCAGACTAAGTGTTGACAGATGATAACATGTTTGGAGATAATGAGCTGCGGCTGGAAACACGACACTGAGAGGTGAATAAAAGCGGGATGCTATACATGCTTGCTATGAGACGCTAAAACCTTCTGGATAATTGTGAAAACTTTAAGAGAGGTCATGCAGTTTAAAGTGTTACTTTAGTGATTAAACAGCTTATCAGAGTCTGGTAAGCTGAATCATAAAGTTCACAATTCAGATATATACAGCAGTGATGATCTCATTTTTTTTTGAGTTTTTTATTTTAATATACCAGCTAATCATCAATTTGCATTATGAATATCAGCTCGAACTCTTCATAATGTTTCTGCTTGAATTGCACTAAAGGAGAATCATCATTGATGTACCTCTTTTCATTTCCTTTATAGGATTCCACTAATAGCAGGATCCCTGAATGAATAGAGGCTCCTCCTTGATGAGATGAAGTTGGGGGATGGTGATATTTCAGGACCTTGGTGGCTGATTGGACTGAGGATCTTGTATTTCCATAAAAAGCAGCTCCACATTCATATCAGAACCCTTATATATAAACACCCTGATAATGTTTTGTTCCCACTGGCTCTACTGTCCTCCTTCCTGGCTTTCTTTTTCATCGTAGGTGAGACATGGCTTCTTTTTTTTCTCCTTTACTCATCGTATCTCTGTACGAAAAATATATTTGTGTATTTTATGAAATCCTGCAGTGCAGAAGAGGTGGTTTATTGTTGAGTGGAGAGGACCAGTTATTGGCGTTATCACCTTTAGGATGATAGTGCCAATTTATTTTTTTTTAGAACAAAAAGTTCTAGTGATATTTAAATTGGTTTGCAAATTGGTTAGCATATTCTGTAATGGTAACATTTAAGGTTGCATCGTTTTTTTTAAAGCGTTATACAATAATTTAGGTTGTTAGCAGTAATAGTATTTTGATAGTTAATTTAAAATATATACTTAACTTAGTTGAAGAAAGAAGGATATCCTCAGATTCAAAGAAGCAAATTTATTTTTTCCGAAATATCAAAGTTACATCCCCCTGTCAAAAATTAGAAGCGTTGTGGAGAAGCTTGTGCCTCTCAGAGAGAAGAGTCTCTTCCAAACAAAGCAAGGCTTTTCATTGATTCCCAAAGCAGCCGGTCTATTTTGTTTAATTTAGTTTATAATTTTTTGTCAAAACAGTATATGTGTAAGGAATTCCCTTAGCAACAAGAGCTGCTAACTAGGTTTTTCTTGTGTGAAACAATGGAAATAAATGTGATTCTATTCTAGTTTATGATATTTGAAGCAGATCTGTTAATTCTGTCAGCAAGTAAAAATGAAAACACCTTTTTACATTATCAAGGTATAATCTGCACGAAGTGAGACAACCGGTAGCTTCAAGTGGTAGATACAAATTTTAATCAAGTTAAAACTAATTCTGAGAAATTTATATATTTTTAAGGATGCAATAAACCCGTTAAAGTTAAACAATGAGACCTTTTCTCTGTTTGTTGGCTTTGTGACTAAAGCAGCTAAGCTTGGAATTGTAAAAGAAATGGGTTTGGCAAGCTTGTTTCAGTAGGTATTGGTGCATGGGTGTTAATCATTTTTTTGTTTTGAAGTACTGAGAAAGATGCTGCTGCAGCACATTCACTAAAGTTATTTTCTGCGAGAAGAATTGAGTGTTAATTCCAGGAGGATGTGTGGCTTATCCCACTCCCTGCGTCAGTTGTGACATCTGACCCTACCTCTAAACTTAGCTCAATAATCCCACAGCTGCTCATTAAAGGTATAATAGGAAACAGGGGGACACAGCGGGGCCTATCGTGTGACAAAAAAATAAAAAAAAATAAATTGTGATGTTTGATTTATTTATTCATTTTTCCAACAGGCTGTTAAAAAAAGAACCTGCCAATATGTCTCACGAGTAAGTTATGCTTTCTCTTACCAATATGATTTTTTGTGGATTTAAGAATTAGTATATGATTTTGGTTGTTTGGTTCAGATTTACTTTTGTTTCAAAATATTAAAGTGTAAATATTTTATTCATTTTATTTATTTTATTTTATTCATTATTCATATTTGTTTAACTTCCAAAGAGAATTAGAAAAAAATAAATAGGATTGAGATATGTTAATGGATTAAAATAGAAAAATAGAAATAGAAAAAAAGCATGAAAATTTTTGTTTTATGTTCCTCACAGCAAGAAGATGAGTTCAAGCCGCAGGCACCACCTGAAGGTAGAAGAGTCTCTGCTGACATCGGCATCCATGATGTCTTTATCAGCTGTTGAAATGATTACCTGTTGCATATACAGAAAACTTAAATTTTTTAGGAAATTATTTCCCGTGATTTGCTTTAAAGGGCTTTCAAACCACAGCTCTCATTTAAAGCAAAATTTTGCTTTAAATGGAGTTTGTCTCCTCGAATATGCTCCAGTGGGAAAGCTTACCTGAATTCTGCTGCTGATCACACAAAGCTACTCTAGTCTGCCTAAAACCTGCGTATTGTTCTGCTTTCAAGTGAACCTGATGTGAACTACTTACAGATGGAATGGAATTGGACTGTAAAGTTAACCAAAAGTGAGGAAGTGATGAGCTGTAGAAATGATTTAATGACATCTGTGATTTGAAAAAGTTTAGATCCTCACTCTGTCTTTGCCTCATGACTATGAAGCAAAATGCTGGACAGCTGGATGCCTCATGGGCTGCTCATACTGGGTTAGCTTCTTGGGAATTAAAATCTCATTAAACTACACCATTTTCTCCAGGCAGTGGAAACGTCTGAAAGTAACCCAAACTAAACTATGGTGTACATTAGCCGCCAAGTCAAACAAAGTCCCCCTTTATCCTGATGTGAAAATATTTCTGATATTCTGTGTATATATAATATACACTGCTTAAAAAAAATAAAGGAACATTTTGAAAACACATCAGATCTCAATGGGGGAAAAATCATGCTGTTTATTTATACTGATATGGACTGGGTGATGTGTCAGGAACTAAAGGATGCCACATCATGTGATGGAAATGAAAATTATCAACCTACAGAAGGCTGAACTCAAAGACACCCCAAAAATTACAGTGAAAAGAATGATGCGGCAGGCTAGTCCATTTTACTGAAATTTAATTGCAGCAACTCAAAATGGTATTCAGTAATTTGTATGGCCCCCACGTGCGTGTGTGCATGTCGCTCTGGGGTATCTCCTCCCAGATCTGGACCAGGGCATCACTGAGCTCCTGGACAGTCTAAAGGTGCAACCTGGCGGCGTCTGATGGATCGAAACATAATGTCCCAGAGGTGTTCTATTAGATTTAGGTCAGGCGAGTGTGGGGGCCAATCAATGGTATCAATTCCTTCATCCTCCAGGAACTACCTGCATACTCTCCTCACATGAGGCCGGGCATTGTCGTGAACCAGGAGGAACCCAGGACCCACTGCACAAGCATAGGATCTGACAATGCGTGCAAGGATTTCATCCCAATACCTAATGGCATTCAGGGTGGCGTTGTCTAGCCTGTATAGGTCTGTGTGTCCCTCCACGGATATGCCTCTCCATACCATCACTGACCCACCACCATACCGGTCATGCTGAATGATGTGACAGGCAGCATAATGTTCTCCACGGCTTCTCCAGACCCTTTCACGTCTGTCACATGTGCTCAGGTTGAACCTGCTCTCATCTGTCAAAAGGACAGGGCGCCAGTGGCGAACTTGCCAATTCCGGTGTTCTGTGGCAAATGCCAATTGAGTTCCACTGTGCCGGGTACTGAGCACAGGGCCCACTAGAGGACGTCGGGCCCTCAGTTCACCCTCGTGAAGTCTGTTTCTAATTGTTTGGTCAGAGACATTCACACCAGTGGCCTGCTGGAGGTCATTTTGTAGGGCTCTGGCAGTGCTCCTCCTGCTCCTCCTTGCACAAAGGAGCAGATACCAGTCCTGCTGATGGCTTGTAGACCTTCTACAGCCCTGTCCAGCTCTATTGGAGTAACTGCCTGTCTCCTGGAATCTCCTCTATGCTCTTGAGATTGTCCTGGGAGACACAGCAAACCTTCTGGCAATGGCACGTATTGATGTGCCATCCTGGAGGAGTTGGACTGCCTGTGCAACCTCTGTAAGTTCCAGGTAGCGCCTCATGCTAACAGTAGTGACAGTGACCCAAGCCAAATGCAAAACTGGGGGAAAAGAGTCAGAAAAGATGAGAAGGGGAAAAAATGTCAGTGGCCTCCACCTATAAAACCATTCCTGTTTTGATGGTCGTCTCCTTGTTGCCCCTCTAGTGCACCTTTTGTTAATTTTACTAACACCAAAGAAGCTGAAACTGATTAACAACCCCCTCTGCTACTTACCTGACCAAATTAATATCCCAGAAGTTTAATTAACTTTATGCTATACTCTGCTATACTCTTACAAAGTGTTCCTTTAATTTTTTTGAGTAGTGTATATCATATCATAGACTTTACTTGTTGTGATTCAGAACCTCACCTGCCCACCCTAACCACATAACCTGGGGCATGAGACATTTTTTCTTGTTAATTGTAAATGGACTGTGATGAGGTTGATGGAGTTGACATTGCTTAGTCTGACATATTTTCAAAATAAAAATCGCTTCGTATTACCTATTATTTTGAGCTTTCAGAGGAAGATTATGAACATGTGATTCACTAACATGGTCCTAAAGTTCAGTCCCTGCTCAGAGGACGAGGTAGATTCCAACCAGTCGGCTGTCAGCAAAATGCAGTGAGCGATGCCCAGAAAGTCCCAGATGCTGTAGCCCCAGAGGATGGAAAACAAGCAGGAGATCAGATCCGGGCAGACAAAGGAAGGCAGAATAATCCAGAGGGTGAAGCCAAAGCCGATGTCGAGGACGTGCTCAAGATTCTGGACCGAAGGGTATTTCAGATCGGTATCAGAAAGCAGTTCCTAGTTCAGTACACAGGCAGAATCCAGCTGGAGTCCATAGACAGGTCAAACAAACAGAGAACATGTAGGCTTAGACAGGAACAGGTAGGTTCAGTGGCTGAGAGGCAGAACAGGTCCGGATCAGGTAACCAGAGACACTAAGGTAACACTGGAACACTCCAGTCACTGGCTCGAGAATAATCTGGCAGTGATGACTAAGCAGAAAAGGTAAAGGTCTAGATTTACCACTCTGTCTATGCTCCTACCCTCATGGTCATAAAGTCTGGATCATGACTGAAAGAACAAGGTCAGGTTGAAATAAGCTTTCCTTGAAGGGTGGCTGGGTACTCTTTTATGGACAAGATGAGGAGCTTAGTTGGAGCCGATCACCTGGAAGTAGAGTGCTTCTCCTCCACATTGAGAGGAGTCTGTGAAGGTGTCTTAACATCTTTACTAAATACCCCCTGGACGCCTCCCCTGAGAGGTGGTCCAGAACCATCCCACCAGGAGTAGGTTCAGGAGATGGCCGTGGACATGTTGCAGAGACTATATCTCTCAGCTGACCAGGGAATGCCTTGGGCAGGAGCAGTCTGGGGGATTCTCTGCTGATACTGCTGCCCCTGTGACGTGGTACTGGATTGGAGGAAGATGAGGATTATTTCAAATTTTTCTGGTTGTAATAGATTTATTACATTGTCTTAGTGGGGTACTGTTTGTAGAAAGTCAAGCAAATAGATAATTTTGATAGCATTTTTGAATGCATTAGCATTTGCTGTCAAGTTTGTTGCTGTGCACTAATATTGGTGAGAACATTGGGATAAGAATCCTTTTTTAATCCAGCCTTTAGTAGGTACCGTGTCTGCGACTGTTTATTGATGAATTTTAGTTTAAAATACTTTTACGCCTATCTATGGAAATGCTGAAAGTCATGAGCACTGACCAGTCAGCCAAAGGGATATCCTCCTGGATAAATGTCAAGGGTGCATGATCAGTGGACCACACTGGCACAAATGTATACATGCCCTAAATTTAACAGTGGCATTCTTATTTAGGTAAGTTGATAGCAGAGTTTGGTGTGCTTCTGCTTTCTCTCTCTCTCTTCATGTAAAAATGTATGCCAAAATATAAAACATGCATTGCAGAAGACTAGAGGCCTTTGCTGGGAACGTTGTGGACTAGTGTTTGAAGGGAGACAGGAAGGCTTTGTTAGGAAGTACCTGGAGATAGGGGCAGCATAAGTTAAATGTTATTATTTGAAAACAAATTAGAAGCTTCCAACTTAACAAGCCAGCAACCCCACATGCTTTAATTCAGTCTGAGCCCAAAGTAAATAAACCACACATAGTCTCAGTCAAATAATCTCTCTTTTATTTATGTTGGACCGTTAGTTCGGTTCCTATTCTAGTTGGGCATTTACCTCAGTGTGAGTGTGATGATGTTTAATGAACACTGTCCTGTAGGAGAGAGGTTTTCAGTCCTTTAGGACAGTTTTCTAATCCTACAACCAAAACCTGGCTAAGAGGTGTTATTTGGTTTAGCACAGTAGACTATTGTCACACACGACCTCTCTGCTCCGTTTCTTTCTTGCAACACCCTCTGTGTTCCAAGCTATGATCAGACAGAATGCTGAGCTGCAGTGAGGCTCGGTGTACACATGCACAGGTGCACCAACAGACAGAAAGTCAAAAATAAAAGAGTGTCAACACTTCCTCTTTTCAAAATAAATATTTCTCTAAAAAAGCAAAAACAAAACAAAAGCCATTGTATATGTGAAAATGAAGATGGACAGAAATAGAACAATTTTTTGGGGTTTACTTTTGCCTTTGATTGTTTGTATTTTTTTCCCAAAAACTTAACAAATCTAGAGAAAAAAATATTATCACATAGAAAGAAATATGTGCTTCAATAAAGACTAAAATTATGGTAAATATTGAAAATCGTTTTTTTCACTTTCCTGTTTTTCCCACAGAGTTTAATTTTGTCAGTGGCTGCAACCTGGCTTGAGAAAGAGAAAAAGGAAGTAATTGAAGCTAAGGAGGCGTACATGGCTGAGAAATGTCCTCCACCAAATCTTAGTGGAGACCAGGCTACCCTCATGGTGAGAGCTTACTGTATGGGATTTTTTGTTTTATCTGGATCTCTGTCCTGCTAATTTGTTATACTATAACCACCACAGCTTGTTTAATTTAGCTATTTTCTTTATTTTTGTTTAATTCTGTAAACCTTTGGAAGTATTTTGAAAATCCATCACTGTCTGTTTTCTAAAGCATCCATGAAATAATGCCAATAAATAACCTACTGTTTTCAAATGCATCAAGGAAACCTGCAAAAAGTTACATGCTCTCATTGACAAAATTGATGAGGAGAGATATGACTTGGAGGCTAAAGTTGGCAAAGCTGATAAAGAGGTAGGTGTCCTGCAGACAACTTTGATCTAATTTACTGTATCATCATTTCAGAATGTCAACTATTATATCTAGCTGGGAGCGTGCTGCGTCAAGAAAACAAGAATATATTATTTAGCTTTAGTTTGAAACAGATTCATTACTTGCAGATTGAAGATCTAAAGATTAAAGTTGTGGACCTGGCTGGAGTAAAGAAACCTGCCCTGAAGAAAGTGCGTATGTCTGCCGATGCTATGCTAAAGGCTCTGCTGGGCTCCAAACACACGGTTAATCTAGACCTGAGGGCCAACCTGAAGCAGGTCAAGAAGGAGACCAAGGAGGAGGTGAGGGTTTGGTAGAGAAAGATCGGACTAGATTTTTTTTGTTTGGTGGGGAGATTTGTTGGATTTTACAAACAATGCACTGTGATTGTGTGTTTCAGCCCACAGACGCCGTTGGAGACTGGCGTAAGAACATTGAGGACAAAGCTGACAGAAAGAAGATGTTTGAAACTTCTTAAAGAACTGAACTCTACTCTCCAGTTGCTCTGGGCGGTTCACACCTTTTTGAAATGTCCATCATTTTGAATTGAATCATCTTTTGTTTAAAAAAAGTGTGTGTCAGCCTGTTTTTGTTATTGTACATTTGTTTAATGCAGAAATAACATTAGCTCAGAAGGTAGAGCAGTTGACCTGTTGTATGGTTGGTCATTGAAATCTCCAACTTTTCCAGTCAAAAAATTTCACTGTCCAAGATACTGATCCCAACAATGTCCTGCTTAAATATGTTCTTCAAATATCAATCGCAGATAAATGAATAAATAGAAAGCAAGGGTTTAGATTGGTGTAGGTGCCTTTGTTTTACATTTGTAAACATCTTTTCACTTATGCAGCACCAACTGTCTCCCCTCAATTCTAATTTTCATTTTTTTAAACTCACTGCTCCCAGTCCTGTCTAAATTTATTCTAAATCAGAATCAAAAATGTTTAATTAATCCAAAGTTAAACATTGTTGTAACTCTCAATGGCATTTCTTTAACGGGTTACTGTAGGTTTCAATGGCTGTAGGCAGGAAGAGTCTACTGTAGTTCACGGTCTAGGAACCTCTGACTGAAGACAATATTGTTTTATTTCCCTGATGTTCTTTAATAAATAATAAATTATCCCTCGTAAAATCCTTTGCAGATTTTAGTGGTTCCCAGACAAATTGCTTGTTAGAGTTTTCAAGGTTGAACTTCTTTTGGCATCTTTTATTTAAAGAGATGAATAACAGAGTCAAAAGCGAAAAATAAAAGAAAAAAAAACGCTAAAGAAACTATACGCACTAGTGGCAAATTAATATAACTGATCTAACTTTAGAAGATGGGAAGTGAGAAGATTGTCTGCAAAAAATGTCACCAGTGCAATGTTTTAGGACTTCGGTTAATTTCTTAATGGGCTTATGACCTTTCTGTATTGCTGAATATTTCAGCCTATATCTATGTAGCAGGGTGTAAAAAATTGTCAAAAAATATTAAGAATTGAACCATAGCTCTGGAGATGAGTATAAACCAATATAACTAAGCAGAAAAAAAAATTGTTTTTCATATTTATAGTACGAATGTTGTTGCTCATCGGCTCTTCTTGCCTAGCTTTAAATGATTCTCAGAGTAGAGTTACCAAAACAATCCTCACAGTGCCAGCAGAGTGCTTCCAAATCTAACTATTCTGCAGGATACTGTGCAGTGTTCTGCTAAAGCAATATTAATGGGGAAATTATTGGAAATCATTCAGATCAATTCACACCAATTAAAAGAGAAACACAAGATGAGATCTGTGTTGAAGTTACAAAGGTAATCTACTATCTGTTTCTTTCAACACCTGGTAATGAAAGGTGTACAGTCTGTCCGTTTAATTTCTAGGTGAGTTGTGTTGACTCTTCTTTTTCAACATGCTTTTCATTTCTTGACACATCTGTTATGCTAATTGCTGTTTTTTGTTCTTTTTTTAGATGTAGTAAAATCACCACGGATGATACTTTAAATGCTGAATAAAGAAAATAAGGTATGTCCTTACCGTTTATCTTACCGATAAGCATGGAGAAGAACCAAATTAGTGGCTTCCCATCAGTTTGTTTAGTTTTCTTATAGTTTTTACGTAATCAACAGGTGAAACCTCAGTTACTTCTACGTGGAAATTGCAATATCTCACTAGAAATAATGAATCAGCATTTTACAGGCCATATATGTTTGATGTAGCATATCAATCTAAAGGGCAACCTTTCTTTTTTTTTCAAATCATCGTAAGTATCTATTACATACACATATTTGAGTCTCATTAACAATGTTAAAAGAGCTATTTTCCAAAGAAAGATTCAATTTATTTTACCCACTTAGCTTACTAAGGTTAATAAAAAAAACGTTCATTCCTATAATTCAAAAACACATAAGAATCTATTTGGAAATCGATAAGAAAAAGGTCTGATAATTTCTCGATTTTATACTGATTCTAATATTAATTTCGAAATGTTATACTTTCCCCCTAAATGCGGCTCATAACAGCAAAATTCAGTAACATGTTTTTTTAATTACTTGCACTCTTTCCTTTTAACAGCTTCTCTTGCTATTAAAAACGAAAGCTTCACTAACCTTCTGATCTATTTGTAGAGCTGCCTACTACAGCTTCACTTTATTTGCGTTTTTTTCAGTGGATGCTGGAGGCTCAGTCTGCTGTATCAGTCTCCTGCGCTCCGTGTTCACCTGGCATGCATTGGGTCAACTAATCTCCCTCTCTTCGCTGTAACAATTATTTCAGTCCCCACTTTTCTCTGACAGTGGCAACCTAATAGTGAGCTGATTTCTTGCACCAAAATTTATGAGGTTCTGCAGAGAGTTGCGGTGGTATTTCTGGATCCTGCTGGCCCATTGGTCTGAAGTTGCTCTGCTACCATAAAGAGCTCTTACTTTACTGCTGAGCTGGCAGTTAACACCATATATACATGATTATTCTTTACTGTTTGGGAGTTGGCAGTATCTCTTCTGCGACTCCGTGTCCTCATCACCTAAGCTTGCTCAGTCAGAAGCCACTAGTGAGAGTTCCTCTTAAATTTCCTTTACAGGTAGGACATGGATTCATTCTGAAAATGCATTTAACAAAGTATTTCTGTAAATTAATATCAGCTGAGATTTTTTAAATATTTTTTAAGGAATATGCAGGCTACTTACATACATGCTGAAAAAGCTTTGAGTTGTCATTCAAACATTGTTAGTTTAACTAAATATGAACTTTGATGTGTGCCTTGCTTTTTATTTCATTATAATGTGGGTTGTTTAGAATTAAGTAAATGAAAACAGGTCAAATGTATGAGATATCAAACTTTATACATACACATTGTTAAAGTGGTTAAATTCCCAGTGTTTAGATTTTCTGTAGCATGTTATAATCAATCATCTGCTGTGACTGCCTGCACCACATTTTTGTGTGGTGCTGGTGTCTATTTGTACTCTGATCTTTGGGTTACTGTTACAAGTTCAGTCTCAGGCAATATGTCTTATGTTGGGCCAACTGTTTACCGCTGTGACTGAGGCATCTGACCCCACCCAGCTAAAAAAAGCTTCTTTGAAAACATGGTTGTGTTTATCCTAAAGCGTATTCCCTTCCCTACTGTGATTTAAATGTTATCTAATCAACAACGGGGATGCAACATGATGTGCCTTTTTTAACCTTATCAAGAGTCATTGTGGCTTAACTTACTTGACAAAATTATTTTCTCTGTTTGAACAGAGTGTGAAGATCAAACAGGGCCAAAATGTCTGAGTAAGTATTATTTTCCATGTAAGCTATCTGATATTTTTACTGGGAATCAATTAACAAATTCTTGTTCTTTTTGCAGGATCTTTCAGATTTCAACTTGTAGTAATATCTTAGATATTTAATTTAGTTTTTTATAATCAGTACAAAAGAAAATGTATTTTAGAAATTTTTGAGTAGCTTTTAAATTAGTTTATTTGATATTTTGCCAAAGACTTCATCTTAAATATCTAATTTCGTTATCTAAGAAATTAAGAAATGGCAAGAATTTCTACTATATGTATCAGTTGGCTAAACCTTTCATAATGAGGGCAGATATGGTTTCTTTTCTTAGACTTAGACAAACTTTATTGTCAGTTTGTATACACCAAGTGTATATAAAACTAAATTTCATTGCTTACCGCTTACAACATTTGTCCTTATAAAGTGCAGCAGTGATCATCCTGTAAACAGTATAGATGACAAGGAAAACAGATTTAAAAACAACAATGGTGCAAAGGGGCAAAATATGGAACGGTTCAGTGCATTGCAAAATAAATACGGTGCAAAATGCACAATAACATTGAGTTGTGTCCTAATGATTAGTTTCTCCTTCACTGCCAATAAATGTATGCTTATATGTCAGAATATGTTCTGAATCTGTCTGTTGAGGAGGTTGTTTTTATTATCATAAATAAAATTAAGGGATACATTTCCCAAAAGGAGATCAAAATCAGGTTTTAATAAATTAACTGTTTTATTATTGCTGTAGAATAGTTTACTATTAGCTTCTTTAACATAGAAAGTTTTTATAGATTAGTGTTTCTATGTTGGTGTGAGGGATTGCTGTTGTGTCAATGAGTCAATGCAATCAGCCTGACTTAATGATCTGGTTGAACTGTCTCAGTAAAGTGGTATCTTGGCTTAGCAATACTGGAAGGCAGAATAACCAACCAGCATTCATCTTCCAGCTACAGTATATTGTAAAAGACTAAAGATGTAGTTGTCTCCTGTCATTAGATAATATTATGAATAGCATGTATTTTCTGTTAGTGGTACTTAATGATCAAGATGAAAAAAGAAATCCCTAACACACTGATTAACATTTGTCATGAAGAATATCTGATTTATCCATTCTTATTTCCATTTTCTCTTACCTTACAGGGGAAAGAAAATGACATCAAGCCGCAGGCATCAATTGAAGGTCAGGGTTTAATTTAGCTTTTTTTTTTTCTTCAGAAAATGGAACTGTGTGGAGATTACTTATTACATGTCCAAATCTGTTGTTACAGAGCTTAATGCTGCAGATTGCTACCAGAATGCTTGAGGAGGAGAAGAAGGAAATTGCAGCAGCAAAAGAGGCCTATATGGCTGAGAACTGCCCCCCGCCTGACCTCAGTGGAGACGTGAATGCCCTCATGGTCAGTATGACAAACAAATAAGGCAATAGGGAACTAAATCTTAAAGATATAGTGGAGGATTTTTGCACATTTTTGGAAAGACCCTGTATCTGCTCCAAAGAGGGAATGCCTATTGAAGGAGTGTAAGAGCGTGCATTAGCCCATTTCTCCTTGTGCACGCTCTGTTTTAAAGTTGTTGTTTGCATCGCTCATACAAGCTTACTTTCTTAAAGAAGATTTGCAATTTTTCCACTATGTCAGCCTCATCAGCGATAAGAGAAAATAGGGACAAGCACGTAGGATGGCCTTACGTAAACATATCATATCAGAATGAGTGACAATTAGGAGGACCCCTTATGTTGATGATCCACCCCGAAAAAAAAACTTCCTCCACTATACATTGAGAAGGGGCGTTACTCAGCTAATTCAGAGTAGGTCAATATAGGTCATGCAAAGATTTTTATATGTATAAACCTTTATATATATATATATATATGTATATATATATATATATATATACATTTTTTTCACTGAAATATGTTTGATTTTTAGGTAGTACAGAGCTTATAAATTTCATAATAGTCCTAAAGAGACTAAAATCAGGAAATCCTCTAGGCCATACAGCTAGAGTATCATCACCACCTGGCAGCTGCTGAAGGCCAGATGAGGACTGGTTTGAAAAAGGACTGAGAGCCCTCTGGTGGAGGCTCTGACAGTAAGGAACCTAGAACATAGTTACTACAACAAACTAATGGAGAAGCTGGGGGTGCATTTGGCAACTACGTATGTGGGAATGCCACCCTATATGTTTAATGCGCTCCTCAGCAGTATTAGCCCAACCATCCAGGGGAATAAGTACAATAAGTATAAACATCTTAGCCAGTTCTGAACCAAAATGTCAATAGCTCAAATCTTCACAGGGTTTGAGTGTTGCAATAACTGTCTGAGAACCAAATATAAACCAGTTTCAAATTCAGAGACTTGCTGCAGTTCATACGAAACCTAAAAGTTAACAAATGGATAATTTAAATGTTAATAGTGTTTAATATAGGGTGACCAAACGTCCGTATTTCCCAGGACATGTCCGTATTTCAAGTCCTGTCCCGGGCGTCCCGGGTTTTTTTTAGAAAATGAGGAAATGTCCTGATTTTTTAAATTACCTTAATTGGACCATTAAATTTACAGGCGCTAGGGCACTGCGCTGCGTGTGACGTAATCCCTGAGCTGCGTCAGTGCGGGCAGCCCTGTTCTTAATCAGAATATAGATAGCGTGGCTGTCAGTACGCCAACAACATGCCAAAGTGCAAATGTATGTTTACCGACAATTTACAAAAGAGTTTCCCTGCTTTCAGACTGAGTCGAGACACATTGGATGCCTTGTACACAGTGTGCAAAGCAGGCACATATGTCTCGGTGTCCAATGGAGGTGCAAGGGATCTGAAAAGCCACCTGGACACCGAAAGTAAAGATAGTCTATTGATATGTTTGTTCGTTTTTGGTACATTTTGAATAATTTTTGCTACACAAGAGGTATTTTTTTTTTAATTAGCTCATTTGTTAATTTATTTTTTCCAATAGCTTACAGAACAGACATTATTTCGTTCATTGCTGAGGCTGAGTATCATGTGTTATTGGGAGTTGAGAGTTATTGTTAACTTTTATTGTTAAGTGAGGGATGTTTAGATGAGACATTATTTCTTTCATTGTGCTATTCATTAATTACAGGAATTGTTAAGCATTTTTAAAAATACATTTTGAATGAAATTATCGTTTGTTATTGGAGTTATTGCTGTTGACTTTTACCGAAAAGCATTTTTTAATAAATCAACTGTAAATATCATGTTATTGTAGGATTACGTAGGTCTATGTTGAGTGCATGCCACAGACATCAGGAACAGAGATCCCAACCCCCCTTCCAGGTGTCCTGGTTTTCCCAAATGAAAATATGGTCACCCTAGTTTAATAGGGTCATTGGAATTGGCAAATAACCTTTATGTGAAGTCCCCCTTTTTCATGAGATGAAAAATAAGGTGGATCTATATTTTCAACGCTCTATTTCACTCCAATGTAACACTATTTGGGCCATACGTATGTCTTTCTATATTCAATTTTTTTGTTGTTTGAGTACTCCCTAGACTCCAAAGTCTTCCTGTAAAAGGGCTGATATTATTTAAAATAAAACAGCACATATTGTCTTGTAATTAGTGTGTCATAATAATCCTTGAAACAAGAATGATGTTATTGGGAAGGGAACCACCTCAGCAGGAGTGTTATAAATCATAAAATATGCTTTTTTTCTTTTGCTTACAGGAAGTGTGCAAGAAGCTCCATCAGGCCATTGACAAAATTGATGAGGCGAGATACGACACAGAAGCAAAAGTTCTGAAAGTGGACAAAGAGGTGAGATACAGGCAAGAGCCTGACTTGATTTAACTGTAAAGACATATTTATCAACAAGTCTTTAATTCAACTTTCAGAAAACCTTTATTTAATTTCCAGTACATTTTAACAATATAGATTTTAGATTCGGTGCATAGGAAAGGAACGCTTCCCTTAGGGGTAGGTACCATTTCCAAACAAATGTGCTCATGTGTGCATATTGCTTTTGGTTATTTGCCAACAAGTCACATCACAAGGTGCAGAATCCCATTCAGTTATATTCCTTCAAATTTCAATCCAATTATTTTATATCCTATTTTATAACTTTTTCTGCAATGAGTTGTTTTACAGTAGATGATACTGGCAGGAAGAATCTTTTTTTAAATGCTCTGGAGAACGTCTAACTGAAAATATTCTGTTGTCGCAGTTAGATATAGAGGACGGTCAGGTAGTCTGTTTTTTTTTATAATTTTGTCGAAAAAAAAAAGGATGTGTGAAAATATATCCATAGGTTCAAGCAAAGTTCTCGTAACAGCTTTAGTAGTTTGCTGAGCTTCTTTATTTTCTGCTTTAATGCTGCTACCCCAACAGATGATGGCAGAAGAGCACTTTAGATTAGATGATTATTTCAATTCAGTTTATTTATACAGCTACAATTCTCAATACATGTCATCTCAAGGCACTTTAATTATACCAGATCATACAGCCAAATTGATTCAAATTTTTATATCTAAGGAAAACCAGATGATTGCATTGAATCATTGATTCGAAGGTAATCCCTCACTCCATGCTTGTAGCAACAGTGGAGAGGAGAAACTCCCCTTTAACAGGAAGAAACCTCCAGCAGAATCAGGCTCAGTGAGAGCGTCCATCTGCTGAGGCTGACTAGGGTTCAAGGAGACAGACGCGGGCATACAGAAATAAGCAGAGATACCAAAAGGAACTTGTCCAAAACTGGTAGTTGGTTCCACAGGAGAGGAGCCTGATAACTAAAAGATCTGCCTCCCATTCTACTTTTAGAAACTCTAGGAACCACTAGTAAAGAGCAAAGTGCTCTGTTAGGAACATAAGGAACAATCAGATCTCTGATATAAGATGGAGCTTTGTCATTTAAGGCTTTACATGTGAGAAGGAGGATTTTAAATTGTAATCTGGATTTAACAGTAAACCATTAATTTTCATCTTAACTACATTTTGTGGACTTCCTGATAGTAGAGAGTTACAATTGTCCAGCCTTGAAGTAACAAATGCATGCACTAGTTTCTCAGCATTTATATTTATAAATGCTTATATATTAAAATTGTATAAATTATAAACATCTCAGGATGTTTATAATTTTTTTACAATTTTCCGAAGATGAAAGAAGGAAATTCTAGAAACCTCTTTGATATGGGATTTAAATGACAGGTCCTGATTAAAAAATAACCCCAAAATTTTTTACTTTATTATCTGAGATCAATTTAATCCCATCCAAATGAATTAACTGACTAGTCTGCCTCTTTTTTAAAGACTCCGGTCTAAAGACTATAACTTTTGTTTTGTCTGCATTTAGGAGCAGGAAGTTAAGAGCCATTCAGGTTTTTATGTCTTCAAGACGTGCCTGTAATCTATGTAATGAGTTGGCTTCATCTGGACTTATAGACAAATACAGGTGCTGGTCATAAAATTAGAATATCATGAAAAAGTAGATTGATTTCAGTAATTCCATTTAAAAAGTGAAACTTGTATATTATATTCATACATTACATACAAACTCATATATTTCAGATGTTTATTTTGTTTAATTTTGATGATTACAAATGACAACAAATGAAAATCTCAAATTCATCATATCAGAAAATTAGAATATTGTGAAAAGGTTCAAAATTGATGGCCCCTGGTGCCACACTCTAATCAGCTAATTAACTCAAACCACCTGCAAAAGCCTTTAAATAGTCTTTCAGTCTAGTTCTATAGGCTACACAATCATGGGGAAGACTGCTGACTTGACAGTTGTCCAAAAGACGACCATCGACACCTTGCACAAGGAGGGCAAGACACAAAAGGTCATCGCTAAAGAGGCTGGCTGTTCACAGAGCTCAGTGTCCAAGCACATTAATAGAGAGGCGAAGGGAAGGAAAAGATGTGGTCGAAAAAAGTGTACAAGCAAGAGAGATAACCGCACCCTGGAGAGGATTGTGAAACAAAACCCATTCAAAAATGTGGGGGAGATTCACAAAGAGTGGACTGCAGCTGGAGTGAGTGCTTCAAGAACCACCACACACAGACGTATGAAAGACATGGGTTTCTGCTGTCGCATTCCTTGTGTCAAGCCACTCTTGAACCACAGACAGCGTCAGAAGCGTCTTGCCTGGGCTAAAGAGAAACAGGACTGGACTGCTGGTGAGTGGTCCAAAGTCATGTTCTCTGATGAAAGTAAATTTTGCATTTCCTTTGGAAATCAAGGTCCCAGAGTCTGGAGGAAAAGAAGAGAGGCACTTCATCCACGTTGCTTGAAGTCCAGTGTAAAGTTTCCACAGTCAGTGATGGTTTGGGGTGCCATGTCATCTGCTGGTGTTGGTCCATTGTGTTTTCTGAGGTCCAGGGTCAACGCAGCCACATACCAGGTAGTTTTAGAGCACTTCATGCTTCCTGCAGCTGACCAACTTTTTGGAGATGCAGATTTCATTTTCCAACAGGACTTGGCACCTGCACACAGTGCCAAAGCTACCAGTACCTGGTTGAAGGACCATGGTATCCCTGTTCTTAATTGGCCAGCAAACTCTCCTGACCTTAACCCCATAGAAAATCTATGGGGTATTGTGAAGAAGAAGATGCAATACACCAGACCCAACAATTCAGAAGAGCTAAAAGCCACTATTAGAGCAACCTGGGCTATCATAACACCTGAGCAGTGCCACAGACTGATCGACTCCATGCCACGCCGCATTGCTGCAGTAATACAGGCCAAAGGAGGCCCAACTAAATACTGAGTGTTGTACATGCTCATACTTTTCATGTTCATACTTTTCAGTTGGCCAACATTTCTATAAATCCTTTGTTTTTATTGGTCTTCAGTAATATTCTAATTTTCTGATATGATGAATTTGAGATTTTCATTTGTTGTCATTTGTAATCATCAAAATTAAACAAAATAAACATCTGAAATATATGAGTTTGTATGTAATGTATGAATATAATATACAAGTTTCACTTTTTAAATGGAATTACTGAAATCAATCTACTTTTTCATGATATTCTAATTTTATGACCAGCACCTGTATAGCTGAGTATCAGCCAGCCTGAAAAATATAAGATAGCTGTTACAATAATGTAATTTTGATAAATATCTTATGTCCAGTAAACAGTAGTTTACTAGCCATTTTACAAATTACCCTTTTTACTCTTACTTAAGTCATTTCTTGGATGACCAGTGAATGAAAAAACAAAGATCTGATGTGCTCTTTCAGGCCATGTACTGTAAAGGGCAGATTAAACTTTTGCAACCGTACACATCAAATGTCCTTTGGGTCTGGTCACAAACCAGTTTTTCTGGTATGCTTCTGCACAGTCGGTCTCAAATTTCTAGGGACGCACAGCAGTTTCCTGCCAAAGGGCAAGTGGGAGCCTATTCGCGAACTTGCAAGAACTTCGCTGCATGGTCACGAGAACTTTGGCAGCGCCAGAGGAAGTGTTTATCTTCCAAAACAACAATGGCGTCTCTGCAAGATATCAAGGTCACGGAGGTGGAGCTAGAGTTGTTAGACATCGAAGAGGTACAGGATCTGTTAATGGAGCGAACCTCCTCAATTAACCTTTTGTCATAGTTGTCCATGGTAGTTGTTCCTCAATTTTTAAAAATGGCACGTCACGGGACCAAATCGAGAAGGATGACCACACAGACAGCCGAAAAGGCATACCAAGGAGCAATCACAAACTTTTGTCTGTGCGCTTCCACTTGAGGTCTGCGCGGGTTTGAGATGGTCTGACGCGTAGTCAGGATTTTTCTTGAGGTGCGCAACGATGGTTACAGGATCACTGCGCGGGGGCGTGGTCCAGCAAAGAGGCAGATTTGACTGTTGCAGAGGCTATGTGTCAGAAGAATAAAGGGCAGATTATACTTCTGCAACCGCACACATCAAATATCACTTGGGTCTGGTCATGAACCAGCTTTGCTGGTATGCTTCTGCACCGTCGGTCTTGAATTTCTAGGGCCGCACAGCAGTTTCCCTTCAAAGCACAAGGGGGAGCCTATTCGAGAACTGGCGAGAACTTCGGCGGACAGTCAAGAGAACTTCGGCGGTGCCGGCGGGAGTGTTATTTTCCAAAACAACAATGGCACATCTGCAAGATATCACAGTCACAGAGATGGATCTAGAGTTTATAGACATCGTAGAGGAACAGGTTCTGTTAATCGAGTTGGTATATAGACAGATTAACCTTTCGTCGTAGTTGTCCATTGTAGTTGTTCCTCCGTTTTTGAAAATGGCGTGTCGCGGCACCGAATCGAGAGGGACGACCACACACACAGCTGAAAAGGCATACCAAGGACCAATCACAGCTGCTTTTTGTTGGCGCACTTCTGCTTGAGGTCTGTGCAGGTTTGCAACCGTCTGACGCGTAGTCAGGAGTTTTTTGAGGTGCGCGATGACGGTTGCAGAACCTCTGTGCGGGGGGCGTGGTCGCGCACAAAGAGAGATTTCACGGATGCAGAGGCTATGCGACAGAAGCATAAATTGGTCTTAAATTGGCCTTAATGCAGAGAACAATGGATCCTTGAAAAAGCAAGATATCAACTTCATCTTATGCTCAACTTTTTGTACTCGATAATTTGATGTTTTAAAATGGAATCAGAATCAGAATAAGAATCAGATTCAGATTTATTGCCAAATAGGTGTGCACTTACAAGGAATTTGAATTACTGTTGATGGTGCAGAAAAATGTAATATATATACATAATACAAAATCTTTAGTTATATACAATATAAAACATACAATATACTAGATACAATATATAGTATATTGCTATGTACTATATACACAGTAGGCTGTACATTAATGTAATGAGAGGTCTGGAGATGCTACATCAGTGTAGCTTCTAGGTCCTGAACAGGGGAGGGAGAGAGGCAGTGTCAGTGTCATGGAGGTCTCTGGGCCTTGTTGATAAGGCTGGTAGTGGATGGGAAGAAACAGTTCTTTTGGCATGAGGTTTTGGTCCTGATGGACCGCAGCATCCTGCCAGAGGAAAGTGTCTGAAATAGTTTGTGGTTGGGGTGCGAGGGATCAGCCACAATCTTCCCTGCATGCCTCAGAGTCCTGGAGGCGTGCAGCTCCTGGAGAGATGGAAGATTGCAGCCAATCACCTTCTCTGCAGAACGGATGACACATTGCAGTCTGCCCTTGTCCTTGGCACTGGCACCAGATTCCCAGATTATGATTGAGAAGGTGAGGTTGGACTCAATGATGGAGGAGTAGAAGTGCATAATCATTGTCCTTGGCAGGTTGAATTTTTTCAGCTGCCGCAGGAAGTACTTTCTTGGTGAGGGAGTTGATGTTCATCTCCACTTAAGGTCCTGTGAGATCCTCACTGAATTTGAAACTAGTTTAAATTGGTTGTTCATAGATGTCCTATGATTAGCTGTTTGCCTTGCCAGTTATTTTCTTTGTAAAGGTGCATTCACACAGAATGCAAAACCTGCAGGCAAATTGGCACCGCTGGTGAAAGGTTCCACTGTGTCATTAAATATGCTGGTCGTCTGTTTCACATCAACAAAGCACACTCTGATTTTACCTAACAAGTTTCTGTGGTTTATTTACTTTGGAAAACCAAACAAAACCAACAGTATCCCTGGACCTAGCACATCCTACAGAGAAGCTCCAAGTTAAGCAAGAATCTATGTGTGACAGTGTGGTCCTGTCACTATGCCTCCAATTGATCATGTATCCCGGCTGCTTTGCCAGGGTATATCCGTTTGGCTGACCGGTCAGCGTGAATGACTTTTACCTGAGAGTCAGTGGCATCAAATCTCATTGTTACTTGCAATATATGGCAGGAAAACAGCTGTTTCCCATGCAGCTCAATGTAGGGTGAGACAGCGTTCTGTTTCCATGTAAAATACATCCACAGCCAGAAGCCAACAGATGCTTTAGCCTTGATATAGAAATATTTCGGACCGATGAACTGCAGTCACGTCTATGACGTCAACCAGTGGTGAAATGCTGCTACTGATTGGCTATGCGTACTCAAGCAGCTCAAAGAATTGTACTGAATGGTGAACCGTAAAATGCCTTGACATAACATGTGGTGTGAATTGGCGCTATATAAAAAAACTGAATTGAATTGAATTTTAGACCTTTATGGCTTATACAACTTAAAGAAAAATTTCTGACAGAGTGGAAAAGAGTCCTCTATCTCATTTCCATGTTCTTGATGCAGTGATCTTGGCTGCAACTGCCAATAAAATCTTTGAAAAAAGCTTCAACACAAAACATTAAACCTCAACCCAACTGTTTAATCATATTCTATCTGATCCCAGATCCAGGATTTGAAGCTGAAGGTTGTTGATCTGGCCGGAGTGAAGAAGCCTGCTCTGAAGAAAGTGCGTATGTCAGCTGATGCCATGCTTAAGGCTCTACTGGGCTCCAAACACACAGTCAACATGGACCTCAGGGCCAACCTGAAGCAGGTCAAGAAGGAGACCAAAGAGGAGGTAAATATTTCAATTCTAACAAAACTGTTCCATCACATTACTGTTTTCACCCTTATTTTCTGCTCTAAAATTAATTGAGATTATGCTTAAATGTTAATTAATAGCAGTAACTGTCAATTGGTTAAACACCAAAGATATTGTATCTATTAGTTATTCTGAAGAGACGCCTTAATAATGGCCAATTAAGGGTCATATTCTTTTTTTTTTTCTCAAGATAATACAGGAAATCTTTACAATGAACGATGCAATGGAATTTTTTTTGTGATTGTCGGTATTGTTAGTCCAGGTATTACGAGTTTTTTGTTGTTTTATCCAGACAACAGAGGCGGTCGGTGATTGGCGTAAAAACATTGAAGACAAGGCCGACAGGAAGAAGATGTTCGAATCGTCTTAAAATTCTTCAGGCTCTGTGAGGATGATGCCAGGGGAGGCAGGTCTGACTGACTGAGCTCATCTCTTTGGCCCTCGGATGCATTCAGGGCCAAGAGTTAGGACACTGACTTACTTTGTGTTACTGTTTCTGAGCATTCTGTACAGCAGTCAGAAGGATGTTACATCATCAGGAAGCATTGTTTATGTGGTTAAACCTGTTTTCTTAAAAAACATCACAGAATGTACTGGTTTTCTCAAAAGCGGTAGAAATAAATATGTCGAAAAATAAGGAAATTTGTTGCTGCTTTTATTTAATAGTAAGGTTATTTAAAACCATTTTGATATTTGGGTGAGTCTGAAAAGAGTAAATTGTTATTTTCTTGTTAAGGGAGATTCATTCTAATAATATAGAAAAAGATGACATAATATACATATATTTTGTCTGTTTTTTTAAATAATGATTTCACATAACTGTAAACATTACGTTATTTCTACTAATGTCCCCAAACTGAAACTTGAATCTCACAGTTTATTATCTGACCTCTAATTTCACTTTTTTATACAGATTGTATGCATGGATACATTTTTTTTTAGACTGGAACAGGTCAGAGCACCTCGAATGACCAATACTGGGATTTTTTTTAATTTTTTTTTATTATAATGTAGGAGACACAAATCAATGTTAAAAGTAAAACATAAGACTTTTGGGCCTGTCAATGGTAAACTGAATTTTTCTTTTTACATTCCAATATAGCAGAAAAAAGGTATAAAGTTAAGGCAAAACCCTTTGACTTTCTGATAATACTGATAGTAGTCAGGTAGGGATAAACCATTGGGAGACAGATTAGACCGATACTGAGACTGCTTTGAATGAGAGGCAAATAAATGCATAGATGTTGTTTTTTTCTTTTAACATAAACAAATACACAAATAATTGATAATTTAGCTGCTTTACTTGGATCACATCTGTTGGAAAATAAATACCATTTCCCTTTAATTAAATATTTGATAGTTTCCATGTAAGTATAAGGAAATAATGCTTAAAGGTTGGAATGATAAGTAGTGTTGTTTTTTCATTGACAGTAAACTTGGTAGAAGGAGTCTTTAGCTAAGATAGGAGACGTCTGAGATAGGAGCAACTTGCAGTGGGGCTGGGCAGAGTGTATTTCAGGAGCTCGCAGGCCTATTGGTCTGACTTTCAAATTCATTTCCATAAAGAGGTTCTCAGCATTCTGCTGAGGCATCTCAGGCCTCCATATATACGTATTTCATTTTTCTCTGTCCGTGGCTTTGGCAGTGTCTGCTTTTCTTCCAACAAGTGTATACTGTCCTCCTTCCTTCTCTCCATAGGTGAGAACTTCTTCCTTTCTTTTTCTCCAATCTGTTTGAGCCTCTCTGTGAGCAGCATCTTTTCTTTAAGTGACAAGCTGGTTCACCTTTGACCAGTTCTGAATCCCTAAACTCACTTTCAACATGTTGTAGGTCACAAATGGATGATTTAATGTGATCTGTTTGCAGCCAATTGCAAGTGTCTTAAAAGTTTACTGTATTCCTTTTAAATTTAATTGATCTTTCATGACACAGGTTGTAAGTTTGCTTCAGAAAATGTTTTGACTAAATACGATTATTCAAGCCTGTGTTTTTTGGACAGAGTTAGAAAAATGTTACATTTTATTAATGTGTAACCTGTAAAAACTGTAATTTTGATTAATTTTACAGACTGGATTTTGTTAATCTTAGTTTTGTTATTCAAAATCATATGGTATTTTTTTCCAATTAAATATTAATACAACTTCGCTAAGTTTTGAATAACTATGATTTGTAATACCTATTATAAAAAAAACAAAACTTATTTTTTCTAAATTAAATGAAACCAGTTTTGTTTTCATGTTAGTGTGTAAATTCCATGATGGCCATGCCTCATTTGATCGGTAACATCCTTGTTTTCGATTATTTCCATGTAAGAAAGTTCAGCTTCGTTGACTAAGAATGATACTTATGACACATGTTTATGGTACCTTAAAAAAGTGACATCCTAGCTGGACCTTCCCAGATTAGTTCAGTCTATGTTGCTCCTTCTCAGCTGTGGCCTCAGATCACGTTACGTTGCAAATTCTGCTGTATATCGATGTCCGTGATGCTGATCTCAGACAGCTGATGTGCTTGACTCCTGCAGAATTCCAACATCATATTCTTTTCTCTTATTAATATTTTAATGCAGATCGTGAACGACAAAGGCCATCAAGATGTCTGAGTAAGTTATAATGTCTTTTGTACTGTTTTAAGTTACCTCTGAATATCCACACAGTTAAATGATTACACCATGTTTTTTTTGTTTTGTTTTTACAGTTGTGTGTAGTTTTTGAATTAAGCAGTAAAAATGTCAAGTTCTATTAATCAGGGACATTGCAATTATGAAAAATCTCTCTAAACAGGAAAAAGATGACATCCAGCCGTCGGCACCACCTGAAGGTAAAAGATACACAGACATTCACCTCTATAGATCTACAAAACCTGCTGCTTAGAAAATTAGGAAACCTTGTTAGAAAATATATACAGTTGATTAAAAACCACAAATAGTCACGTATCTTTGCTCTACTGTAGCTCCTGACAGTCTGTTTAATGTTGCGGATGGATAATATGTAGTCGGACATTACATACATCTGTTTGCTGTTGTTTGGTTCTGCAGAGCCTGGTGCTTCAGGTTGCTGCAAACTGGCTGGAGAAGGAAAAGCAGGAGACCATTCAGGCCAAAGAGGCTTATATGGCTGAGCACTGTCCCGCTCCGGATACGAATGGAGATCAGGCTGCTCTCATGGTGAGAAATCAGATCAGATTTTATAGGAAAAAAAACACAAAAACAGAAAGGTATGAAGAAGTGAGACTGGAAGTTTACTGAGAAAAAAGGCAGAAATAGCTTCAGAAAGACTATCTACTAACTAACTATCTACTAAAAGAGTCAAAACAACACTATGACACTTTTCTTTCATTTCATTTCATTATTCAAACTCAGAAAAATAAAACAAGAGGGAGAAATGACTAAAAATGCCTACATGTATATTATTCATAAATTATAGAAACACCATTAAGGAATTAGTGAGATCTTTTTAATGCACAGATACTCCGTTTTTTTTTTTTTTACAAGCAACATGATCTTTTTTGATGAGCTTGTTACCTCATCTACAGTCACTAACTAACCAGAATTTAGCAGCTGAAAACACAGCTATGCTGCTTGAGAAGACATTAGCTGTTTGCCATATATTTTCACAAGACAGAGGTCACTATCACCTTTTGTTCTAGAGTGTTGCATTAAGACATGGGAACATGGTTCATGCTAAAAGAGTTCAAGTTATAAATTGTGTTGAATATTTTACAAACTTAAGTGTTGGTTTTAATGCTCAGTGTTAAGTCACATTTGACATAAAAAATAAGCAAGTCTACACCTTAGCATCACACTTCTGATCTGCACTGCTGTTCCTGAGTTCTTCTATTCAGTTTGGTTAGAATTTAATGAACATTATTGTTAAGCTGATTCAATATAGTGTCTTTATGATTATATCCGAATAGGAAGTCTGCAAAAAGCTCCATGCTGCCATTGACAAGATTGATGAGGAAAGGTACGACATCGAGGCCAAAGTCCAAAAGGCAGAAAAAGAGGTGCGTCATAGAAAGACACTACAAAACCAAAGTGAAGGAGAAGAAAGCTTCATTGTTTTATTTTCTCACAGATTGAGGACCTGAAGATCAAAGTTGTGGACTTGGTTGGAGTGAAGAAGCCTGCTCTGAAGAAAGTGCGTATGTCTGCTGATGCCATGCTTAAGGCTCTGCTGGGCTCCAAACACACAGTCAACATGGACCTCAGGGCCAACCTGAAGCAGGTCAAGAAGGAGACAAAAGAGGAGGTGAGAAAATACGTTTATACATTTTTACACTTAGGCAAAAATCCAAAATAAAGTTAAATCTGTTTCTGTGACTTGGATGTTTTGTTTTTTTTAACATATATATATTGCAATTAGAAAAAGATGTTTCTGTCCTCTACAGCCAACAGAAGCCGTGGGTGACTGGCGTAAGAACATTGAGGATAAGGCAGACAGGAAGAAGATGTTTGAGTCTTCCTAGATGGTCTCTGCTGCTCATCTATCTGTTTACATGAACCCCACGTGTCTTATGTGCCGGTTGAACCGATGTTCATTATACAGCTGAGGGCTAGTGTGTCTCAGGGGTGTCTTTCTGGAAGAAACGTAACATGTCAGTGTGACTGAAGGGGAGTTTTTGCACTTTGTTCTAGTCTGGAGGGAGGAGGAAGAGAGTGAGGTTTAAGGTTCACCACAAAAACACCATGGTTCCATACACACAGCAACACTCATACACTGAAGGAAACAATAAATAAATCTGTAAAAAGAAATAGTACGTTTGGTCTTTTTTCTGATGTCATATTTTTCATATTTTATTCTGAAATACTGTAAGAAAAGCTACTAAGAAGAAACTAAACCACCAACTAATTACCAAATAAGTTTTGTCATGTTAAAGTCAGCAAATTAAATATGAGTTTGCTAGTCCCAGTCTAAAAATCTATGACCTGCTTGTTTCAGTGGTATATGAGGCGTTAACTTATGGCTGCATATCAGTATATTCAGCCACAGTGATTATAACAGGGTCTCTAACTTATCATTGAGATCTGCTGTTCTCGAACTTTCAGGTACGTCCAACACAGCTCAAGTAGACGATTATCTCTTCAGCATGCCATCAACTTTGGCATAAAGTCTGCTGACAAACTGCCTAACTGATCCAGATTTGTTGGAGCAGGGATCCATTTACTAACTGCAAGGCAGCAGATCTTGATAAGCAAATCTGGGATTTTAGTAGAGTCAAATTTAAGCCTCAACAGTTGCATTATTCAATCAAAGTATTAGAGCTTCTTTAGGTGAACAAAGCAAGTTTGCATTCTGTCTACTGTAATGAGTTATGCACATGTTTTTTCATAAATAGAAAATCAAAAATAGATTAGAGTAACAGCCTAACTTTAACATTAAAATCCATTTTAATGGTACTAAATGCGTTTGCGTAAAGTTTTTAAGAAATGGTAAGCTCAATATTGAAGTCACAATTCAATGACTCAATTAATTAGATAAATATCTTAGACCCAAATAGTTAAATTATATCAATCTTTCCAGATTATATATGGAGAAGGTACAAATTAGCCTTATTTATTTATTGGTAAAATAACAATTTGTTGTTTTTATGTTTAGTACAGTTCTAAAAAAACGAATGTTGCACTATTTACATTAC